GGGAATGATCTGAAGCAGTTGATCTTAATAGCTCAGTGATTCATGCTTTTCCTGTGACAGCCTGTGCTTTGTGTCTGAACAGTGTGTACACTGGACGGGTGAGGCTAAACTACAGGCCTTCAGCTCTTTTTGGTGTGTTTTTTTTATTTGTTTATTTATTATTGCTCGCATCATATCAGTGCTTCAAAACCGTCTTGTTTTCTATTCTTTAACCTTCAATCTGTGCCACATTTTTGTCTTTCCGATTGTGGTTAGACAACAGAGAGTGACCTCAGTGTGTTGTAAAAAAATGGTCATCTATCTAGAGAAGTGGGTCATGAAACGTTTTCCACAATGTGTTGTTTTATATAATCTAGTATTGATAATTACCAAATTGCCTTGTTTTAGTCAATTCCTTTTAGGTGGTCATGGTGTTCTCTAAACATTAGCCCCTTCTACATAATAATGTAGCAGTGAATATCCGCAAAATTTCCAGAACGATGTTACCGTTAAATTAAAATGTGTGCTATTCACACCTTGTGGGAAAAATTTCTCTACATCGATTCCAAAATACTGGTAAATCTCAAATCATTAATATCATCATTAACCAGAAATGACCTCTTAATGACTACACTTGGATTTGTAAACATGAAGGAGGTCCTTTTTCTTTAAATAATTAAATTCATAACTTTCTCATTCATGTATTGTTTTGGCTTTTTGCCTTTATTTGACTGCAGCGTAGAATGCAGGAACTGGAAGAGAGAGGATTTGGAAAGGTCCACTAACCCAGATTTGAACACTTGACACTTGTAGCGATGTATAGTGGTGCATAAACCACTGGACAAGATCTGTTCATGGGAATTTACCGCTTATTTTCTCTAAAAGTCTATGGACCCCATTATACACCCAGTGCAATAAAGCACAAGAGGTGTTTGGCGTGATTTGTTGCTATTTTCAGACCAGCGCAACCCTAATTCTCACATTTTGTGCCACGTTGGATAAATAGCAAATCCATTTGCGCCATTTTGTGGATTTTTTGTGTTAAGGCGCATTGTTGGTGCTTTGCTATTTTGAGGAACTAAAATAGACTGTGCCGTTGACCAGCTGAAAGTTGTGCACATTAAACGCTTACACATTGATTAATACACACAGGTTGTACAGCAATACACAAACATCTTTACAAATGAAAAAACAAATTAAAGGATTAAAATATTACAAAAAAATTATTATTTTCTACATAAATAAAAAACTTTCATGCCTTCTTCATCTCGGGTGCTTTTTCAGTTTATTTGCGACAACTTGCTTTTGTATAATGTTATCATTATTAGTAGCAGTATTATTTATTATATGCATATTTATATTTCTTTTAATGAAAACAACCTTAGGTTCGTCCACCTGTCGGATTTTGGACCATATGAGGCATAGCGTGTGTATTTGGATATAACTAATTTTTTTGACGACACTGCATTATTATTTTTAATTTATTCATTTGTTGGAAATTACAACTGAATTCAGAAAACGTTTTGAAACAAATCTTTGTGCTTAACAAACAAAATTAATTATGTAGGCTAATGGATCTCTTCAGTGGAGAGCATACAACACCGTTTCCTTATTCACGAAAGTAAAGGAGTAAAGTAAAGAGTAAAGAGGTCAAATGAGGAGGCTCATTCTTTATCCTTGTGCTGCAGATGGTCTGTTTAACTGTTTTATTGAGAGTGAAGTGTTCAGATTTTCCACTTACAAAGTCCGCCATGTAAATGGCAAATGCGCCATGGAGCGATGCAATTGACTCCTTAAGGGAATGGGAAATGAGGATCTGATCGGTTCATTCTCAAAACACACCCTTAACTCATTAAAAGCACAACCCTGTTAGGCCATGCTCCAGGGCGCAAAGTGTATTTTTCCGTTCTTAAAATAGCAAAATTGGAATCGGATATGCCCTTAATGCTTTTGCGCCATGAGCTTTAGACTTTGCGCCTAGATCATTAAAGTAGAGTCCTGTATGTTTAAAAGGGCATTTTGAAGACAGTTGATATGCAGTACAGTCAGCATCAGGGTACGAGTTATAGGGGGTTTTGAGGGTGGATTGACCCACACAATTATCCGTTGATCTCCCCTGAAGGACATTAAAACAATATGTGTGGGGGTCAGCCCTTTAATAGTGAGAAATCTTTTTCTTAAATAAAAATATTAATGATTAAAATAATAGATAATCTAAATATACATTTGACCACCCCTATAACGGTTCATACCATTGTAAGGGTTAATGCATAATCTCGTCAATAACCATTCAACAATCTGAAAACCGGCAGATATAGAGCACAGATGGACATTGTAAGTGTTCGCAAGACACTTTTTTTGTAAAATAAGATAATAAGATCTCGTAAAGTAAAATTAGACGTATATCTTGTACAGTTGAGGATTAGCAGTTTAGAAATTAAAACTATTATGTTTAGAAGTGTGTTGAAAAATAATTCTCTTCATTAAACAGATTGAATTCAAATTGAACAGGAGGGCTAATAATTCTGATATAGCTAATTAGAGGATACTGTAGGGCAGAACACACTAGATTATCCCTCAAATCACTAAACTTAAATAAATTCTATTAATAAATTTAATGTTGTTTAAATAAATACATAAATCTGAAATCACTAAAGCATGTATTAAACAAACTAATATTACCGAAAAAGTTAACCCCTCTAATGGTCAGTGTATATAATTTGCACCCTAGTCAGCATAAATCACATCCACACACACTTCTCTCCATGTGTGTAGTTGTATAAATAATCCTCCAGATTCCCCGATCTCATTAGCCTCCTGAAAGACTGACCGTATCAATAGCACGGAAACACATTGCCCTGCTAGACTAACACAGATGTGCTTTATATAATTAGCTCACCTACAGCTAAGCACTCCAACATGTGAAGCCGGTTTCTATTCTAAGCCACTTAAACTGTTATTAATAGTCCCTCGTGGTGTATTTCTGTCACTCAGCATGTCACCTGCAGCTGGACTGGGACTCTCAGGGTGCTAACTTGAGCACTTTAATCCATCTGGGTTTGTCTTAAGGCTGTTATCTACTGTACTACAAGTCTGCAGTGCAAGCCATTCTTAGCTGGGCTATCTATTGGTGCTGTGGCTGGAAATGGCACATGGCGTCGTATTTTGGAGCACAGGGGAAGTTTATGTAACTGAAATAAAGGGTAATGTCCGAGTGACCTCTATTTGGGATGAGAAAAACACAGAAATGTGTTGTCCTGACTGAAATACTGAATCATTTCTCAATAATGGGGTGATGTTTGTTATATGAGGATACAGTAGTGGACATTTGAAGTGGATCAACACCTTTTTTTCAATGTTGTCCAAAATATGTTGAGCAACACTTGTTTTCTTTTTTCTTAGAAGAATTTTAAGAAAGTTTTGTTGATCCACTTTAAATGTTGACCACTATATTTTGTTTTCGAGTGCTGGAAGAGTCGTGTGGAATCTGTTTATTTTTGTACAAGCTACATTTGTTATGTTGACTATTTTCTGGATTCATTTTTTTCTCTTTAAGTAAAAATCTAAGTATTTTAATGGTTAATAAATATACATTTCACTAAGCAAATCAAGTTAATTATTATAATGAAGCATGTCCAGTTCAATCCGTCCACCAGCGGCTGCAGGTCAGACACCAGCACACTTCAAAACACTTCATGTAGTTTATTTCAGTGATTTAAAGTTTTACTTACATATATCTAAATTTTTTTAAGTTTCTTTACATGTATTAATTTTTTTATTACATATTTTATTAGGCTTATTTAATGTAATCTTTAAACTTTATTACATTTAAAAGTTTTATAAAATGTATAAATTTATTTTTAAATATGTTTCTTCTTTGCTCTTGTGTTAAATTAGATAATATATATTACATTGTAAAATTAATGCACCACTATATTTTGTTTTCGAGTGCTGGAAGAGTCGTGTGGAATCTGTTTATTTTGTACAAGCTACATTTGTTATGTTGACTATTTTCTGGATTCATTTTTTTCTCTTTAAGTAAAAATCTAAGTATTTTAATGGTTAATAAATATACATTTCACTAAGCAAATCAAGTTAATTATTATAATGAAGCATGTCCAGTTCATTTTTTTTTAGTAAATTATATAAATTATATAAATAGATTTTCAGAACCATTAAAATATAATAAAAATAACTTTAACCTTTTACTAAAATGTATTTTATTTATAAATTATACTTTATTATATTGTCTCTGAAAATTGCTAACATTATGAATTCTTCGAATTATATATTTCCATTTTAAATTTATTTATTTGTTTAAAAAATTCTGGATTTTTTTCTCTTAAAAAGTATGATTAATATATATAAATAACTTTTACCTCAAATAAGTTTTTTTATGATTTACATTATATTATTTTCATTTCTATTATCCCTTAAAACTATTATTACTAAATATTTGTTATGTTTAAATTCTTTTTTTCTAATAAAATATTTTAATGGTTAAGAAACATAACTTATCCCTAAAATGGATTTTATTTATAATTTATATTATCCCAGAAAAGTATTAATTATTTATTAAAAATTTATTTAAAAAGTGTTTTAATGGTTAATAAATATAACTTTTCTCTAAAATTTAGATTAATTTATCATTTATTTATGTTAAGTTGCTTTATATTATTCCTGAAAATTATTATTATTGTTGTTATTTATTAATAGTGATACTATATTACTTAAATAATAAGTACATTCTTCTTAAGAATATTGAAATTATTTTGTCTTAATTACTTGCTTTTAATATCTACATTTTCTGTATAAAAAAATCTTAACGCTCTACAACAGAAATGATTACCAATTTGCAATCAATCCAGTATAGATTTAGTATGATATCTCGTTGCTTTTATTTTAGAGGGATGATATTCACTTCGCATTATCACTCTATCATGATCGCTCTTCATGAAGTGTGTGTAATGTTCATGGCCTGTTTTATAATGGCTGCTGCTTGTGTTTGGGTTTTTTTCCAGCTCCAACTCTCACAGTCCATCTCCACCCAGCAGCACAAATGCTTTCAGTCTTCTGAGCGCCAGTTCAGAACAGGACAATCCGTCCACCAGCGGCTGCAGGTCAGACACCAGCACACTTCAAAACACTTCATGTAGTTTATTTCAGTGATTTAAAGTTTTACTTACATATATCTAAATTTTTTTAAGTTTCTTTACATGTATTAATTTTTTTATTACATATTTTATTAGGCTTATTTAATGTAATCTTTAAACTTTATTACATTTAAAAGTTTTATAAAATGTATAAATTTATTTTTAAATATGTTTCTTCTTTGCTCTTGTGTTAAATTAGATAATATATATTACATTGTAAAATTAATAAAATATAATTTATAAATTTTACATTTATATAAATTCAATTTGATGGTTTTTTCATAGCTTTTATGTTTTAAGAATTTTTTTTTTATTATTATGGAATATTTCATTGATTAATTTTCATCTTACCCATCCAAATATTTTTTTAAACGTGCATTTTTAGATTTTTTTTATGCAATTTTGTTTTATTTTAATTTATTTTTGCATAATTTTAAATGTTTTCTTTTATAAATGTTTATTACATATGTTACATTTTTACTATTATTTAATGTAAAAGAAATGTCTATTGATTCATTTTTCCTCTATCCTATTCAAATAGTGTTTTAGACAAGCATTTTTAGATTTATTATGCATATTTTTGTTCTCTTAAATGTTTAGAAAAGGCATGCAGTTGTTTGTAAAATGGATTTGCTTGCTGAAGTGCTTGTGCACGTGTGTGTTTTTGTGCATCTGCAGTAGTGAAGAATCTGCAAAAGCCAAGACGCAGAAAGAGTTGATCAAAACTCTGAAAGAGCTGAAGCTTCATCTGCCTGCAGAGAAGAGAAACAAAGGCAGCAAATCCACCACACTCAACACTCTTAAATACGCCCTGCGCTGCGTCAGACAGGTGGAGGGTGAGCAGAAACACTTTAATATATCATTACAGCATGCAGAAACATTTGCATGATCACAGGGACATCATGGTCCTATTTTTCAAGAAATTATTGTTGTATAAAGACAAGATGCTAATACAAAAACTTTTCAACCAAACAAATGCATTGAGAATGTGATAATTATTATTTCAGCCAATCCGATTTAACTAGGGCAATGTCATGTTTAATATGTTAGCTATTGATATATTATATTATATAATGGATTTTATTTAAAATTAACATATAACAAACTTTGGGCCCCCGCTACCAAATTAATTTCATTGCACCTCCTGATATATTAATTGTATGTGGTTTATAGACTTATCTTGTATTTTTCTGCATTGTTATTCCAGCAAATGAAGAGTATTATCAGCTGCTCATGATTAATGACAGTCAGCCATCAGGGCTTGATGTCTCATCATATACTATAGAGGAGATCGACAGCATAACCTCTGAATACACCCTCAAAAACACTGTAAGTACATCTGCAGACATATTTTTATACACTATTTGAAGTATTTTTGTTTGTAATTTTTAAGGTATTTATTATATCTAATATTTTGCTAGATTTTTAATTGAACTTAATTTTCCAAATTTTGCATTGTTTTTCCCACCATTTCTGTTTCTTTATTTTTTATTTTATGCATTTAATTTGTTTAGCAATTTTTTTAGATTATATTTTGTATTTACTTTTACTTTTTTTACTTTGTGCATTATTTTTGCTATTTATTTCTTTACTTTTCATAATTATTAATCTTTTTTTTCTTGTTATATTATGACAATTTAGTTCCTAGTTTAGACTATTTTTTGTGTATTTATAATTTATATTTTAGGTATTCTTCTTATTATATATTTATTATTTTGTCATTATTATTATTATTATTATTATTATTATTATCATTATTTGTGGTTTATTACTATTGTTTATTTTATTAATTTATTTTTTCAGAAACACTTCACTGATTGCATACAGTGAATTTCAGTAGTTCCCATCAGTAATCACTCATCATGCGATGTTTGTTTGTCTGTGCAGGATATCTTCGCAGTGGCCGTGTCTCTCATCACTGGGAAGATCGTCTATATTTCAGACCAGGCCGCCTCCATCCTCAACTGCAAGCGGGACGTCTTCAAGAATGCCAAGTTTGTGGAGTTTCTTACACCACAGGACGTCAGTGTGTTCTACAGCTTCACCACACCATACAGGCTGCCCTCATGGAGCATGTGCACTGGCGCAGGTAGAACACACACACACTGACAAATACACACTTACTCTATCACACACACTGACACCATCAGTCTTAACATATGTAGAGTAGCACATGACAATATTTAGCCAAACTATTTTTGAAAATCTGTAATGTGAGAGTTTAAACAAATCTAAATATTGAGGGAAAACTCCTTTAAATGTGTCCAAATTGTGTTTATAGCCATGCATATTACTAAAAAGTATATTTTGATATATGTACAATAGCTCCGGTTTCCCCCACAGTCCAAAGACATGCGGTAAAGGTGAATTGGGTAAGCTAAAATTGTCCTTAGTGTATGTGTGTGGATGAGAGTGTATGGGGTTTCCCAGTGATGGGTTGCAGCTGGAAGGGCATCCGCTTTGTAAAAGGTATGCTGGATAAGTTGGCGGTTCATTCCACTGTGGCGACCCCAGAATAATAACGGAACTGAGCGAATGAATGAATATTTACAATTGGAAATCTACTAAATATCTCCCTGGATCATCTTCACTTCATTTTCTAATGATTTTTGTCATAAAGTAAAAATGTTTATTCATGTAACACGAGGGTCACCCTGACTAAACATTATAAGGGAGCAAATAAACTCCACAAGCCTAATCTGTCCAGTTTTCCACACTCACAATGCATTTACATCACATCCAGCAGCCAAGGCAATTTTCAAGAATTACTCCAGCTTTTCAAGGAGCAGCTAATCTCAACTGATTATTTAAACATTGTTTTTTAACTCTGCCTTTCTATCAAAGGTGAGAACAAATCATAGAAATAGACCAAACAAACACGCAGGCAAATAATGAGGCATTTATTATGGATGAAACACAATCTCTTGTCAGCTCTGAGAGGCAAGAAGCTGTTGAATTAAAGCTGAACTGTTGTTTTTTTTCATCCTCAGACTCGTCCCCGTCAGACTGCATGCAGGAGAAATCCTTCTTCTGTCGTATTAGGTGAGATTGTGCATCCTGCATGAGCACCATCTGCTCACCATGATTTTATTCATTGATTTTCCTTTTTAGATCAATCCAGGGAAATCTATTCTGCTGAACTTTTGTCCTTTTGAATAGGCAGATTTGATTACTAATACATGTCTAATGAGCATGGTAAACCTTGTGCAGTGACTAATGAAACATTGAGCACTTTACATGTACAACAGGATTTATTCTTTACCCTTATATTTAGGGGACATTTCCTTTAAGCTTTAAGGTACTGATATGCACCATTAAGGCGTAAATTAGGTGTAAAGCTGTACTTTTTGTTGATTTTATTAATTTTTTTAGACCAGCTTAATATATATTTGTTTTGAGGGACCTCCATCTTAAAACGTTAAAGGCATTTATGCAGTTTCTAGTGTTAATACTGAGTTTATCCTGTGAAATAATATATAAACAAAGCAATCAAACATAAAATATTATTTAAAAATGTGAAAATTATTTGGTCGCTATTACTTTTTAATGTTTTTTCTTCTCAAAGTCGTACTTATCGTACTTAAATTTTTTTATTATTTATTTTAATCTCATTTGTTTTATGTCTTTGATTTGTTCTAATTTGTGTTCATTTTAAACATACTTTAGGTTTTTTAAATGAGGAATTAATCTTCTATAATTCATAATTTATTTTAATAACATTTGTGATACTAACTTATAATTAAATAACTTTTGTTTTAGATAGTTTGTTTTATTTTTAATCTATTTGCATATGGATAATATAAACTTTTATACTAACTGTGTCTTTAATTATTTTAATTCAATATTTATTAATAAAATAATAATAATAAATAATAAAGTGAAAGGGCATCCGCTGTGCAAAACATATGGTGGAATAGTTGGCGGTTCATTCCGCTGTGCCTATCTCTAAAATAGAGACTAAGCCGAAGGAAAATTAATGATTGAATACTAATAGTATACCAATAATTTTTTTAATGTATGAAGTGTTTCATTATTTTAATGCAATATTAATTGATTCTTCTTTTATTAATTCAATTATTCTTTAATAAATAATTATCAAATAAATAAATATAGTTTTTATGCTTTCCCCCTAAACATCCCTACATTTAATCCTAGTTTTTACCTTTTTTTTTTTCAAATTGTTTTAATATGAGTTTCTTTATTAATCATGATCATTTGTGAGTTATGTTTTGGACTGAGCCAGTGATTATCACTAAGTTGTTGCATTTGTGTGTGTTTTTCAGCGGCGGTAAGGAGTGTGAGGCAGATCTGCAGTATTATCCCTTCAGAATGACTCCGTATCTGATGAAGGTTCAGGATATGGAGCATTCAGAGGATCAGTTCTGCTGCCTCCTGCTGGCCGAGAGAGTGCACTCCGGCTACGAAGGTCAGCTCTTTCACACATTACCCTACATGGAGAACAGATTTCTTTTTTATACAAGTAGTGGTTGAAGTGCATTGAGAAGAATAATTACAATTTGATCATTTGAATTTTGATGCAAAAAATAAATGATTTACTCACTGATGTATATTTATACAAGTATAATTAAAGACTATTATAAAAAACATGATATTTTTGTTGTAGCCAAATAAATGTTTGGAAACACTTTATTTTGAGTATTAGTAAACTGTCTGCTTAATATCTGTTGATACTGCTCCCTCAACAGACATTTAACTGACTATAAGAAACTTTGCAAGTACATGTTAACTTACACTAACCCTAACCCAGGGGTGTCTAAACTCAGTCCCGGAGTGCCGGTGTCCTGCATAGTTTAGCTCCAACTTCCTTCAACACAACTCCCTGAAAGTTTCTTGATAGCTTGATTAGCTGGTTCTGGTGTGTTTAAATTGGGTTAGAACTAACATATGCTGGACACCGGCCCTTTAGGACCGAGTTTGGACACCCCTGCCCTAACCCCAACCTAACATTCTACTTATAATCTTATAAGAATTAGTTGGCATGTAGATGCAATGTAACTTAAGCCCCGTATACACTAATGCATTTTAGTTTGAAAACGCATAAGTTTTGCTACGGTTACGCCATCCATCAACACTACACCACAGTTTTCGAGCGCAGAAAACGGAGTGTTTTGGAAACGCTGGAGAGGCTGTTTTCATTTTGAAACGCTGCTGCTCTGTCTCAGTGTGGATGGGGGAAAACGCAGACATCTGAAAACGGAGGCGGGGCTGCTAAGATTCGCTACCTGATTGGGGCTTTTGTGTCATTGCGCATCCTTCCCTTATTCGTCAAGCCCCTATCACATGACTATAATACATGGCTTTATTGCTACAGGAAGACAGCAGACCAGCCTTCACTGTAAACAACAACATTGACACAGAAATGGGAGCGTTGTTTGCACTATTGTCTGTTTTAGGCGCTATTGTGCAGTTATTCAATTGTTACATTTAGTAAAAACTTGACCTCGTCGTCTGTCCACAGAAATACCTCTCTTGCTTTCTTTGCCATCGTGTTCATTATTCAACCGGCGTTTGTTGACTAACAATAACCAAATGCAGAGCGGGCACATGATTCCTGTTTACACTAGAATGTGCATGGCCAGAGTGAGCGAATAGTCACGTGATATACGTTTTTGGTGGCGTAGTGTGGACGGAGATATGTTCAGAAACGCTAGGTGAAACACTAGTGTGGATGCGGATCGTTTTTGAACTAAAACACAGTTTTAAAACTAAACGCACTAGTGTAAATGGGGCCTTAAATTCAACAAATGCACCCTCAAAGTCAAGTGTGACCAAATGTTTTCATTTTTTTGTTTTGTTTCTCAGATGTATTTATTGTACATGTTATGATTGGTGCTGTCAAAAAAATGCAAACTACAAAACATTTACAAAATGCTTTAGACAATTCAGTCACAAATAGATTAGAGTAGATTCAACTTTGTTTTCATTACACATGTTCAAAAACAAAGCAACAAAATGCAGTTTAGGTCTAATAAGGAGTGCAATAGCAGCAAGTGCAGGATATAGATATAAGTTATAAAGTGCAGTTATAGAAAACTATGGGTAATATAATATACAGTAAGCACAGTAATACTGTAAAATAAACGACAACTTGCCGCTCTAAAAACATTCATTGTTATTAATTATTATCAATATGAAACAAGTGATGTTTTATGTTTTTGTGAAACCGAAATTAAGGCCCAGTCCCAATTCTATTTTTCTACATTTATAAGTGTCTATTATAACAGACACTGTGAAATGTCCAGTCCCTGCCACTAGACTTTTCTGACAGGGTATTCCAGTGTCATCGAGTGTCAGAATGTTGTTGGACTGCTGTACAGAAGTTATTATCGGGGATTTTAGAACGGGAATAGATTGCGAAATTTAGCTGTTTTTATTTTAGCAAAATTTTTTAAAAGCATGACGGTAAAACACAAAAGCGGTTATGAATATATTAAAACGTGTTTGTTTGTTGTAAAAAAATCGTAATAATGACAAAAATAATCTCCTTACTTCTGGGTGCAGCTGGAGCTAGTGTATTCTGGGAAATTTTCCCTACCCCTTGGTTTCGAGTGTGGTCCTGAAAGATCTTCGTTTGAAGGGGTGTATACCCCTTGCCCTTAGCCCTACGCCTTCAAACTAAAGAGAATTGGGACACCACTACCCCTTCACGGGCACGCGCAAATTGAGGGGAAGGGCTAAAGGGTAGAATTGGGATTGGGCCTAACTGTTAGATTGAAATAAACAGCATTTATTTGAACTAGAAATCGTATATAACTTGATGAATCTTTATGCACTCGTTTTAAAAAAAATAAGTGAATACATCATTGATGAATAAAAGTGTTTTTTTTTTTTTTTTTAAAGCAAGCAATTATAAATGCTACAGACCCAAAACATCTGATATAATCAAACACTGTGCAAATAGACGCAATCATGCCTGCTATTTTTGTTAACAAACATGATGGCAAATAAAGAAACTGACAAATGATTATTTTTAAGCAGTTTCAAATACTAAAATGTTAGAATATTAAAATCTTTTTCTGTTAATTCCTCAGCTCCCAGAATCCCCACAGACAAGCGAATCTTCACCACCACACACACTCCCAGCTGTGTGTTTCAGGATGTGGATGAGCGGTAAGATTTTAATGCTTCTGTTGATGAACATTAATAATGAAGATCAGCTGCTTGTTTAAACATTAAATGAGTGTTTCACACCACATCGCTCTGCCTCCACACCTGCTTTTTTCCATTTCTCATATTGATGCATATTAAAGGTAATAACAGTTGTTGTCCCCATTCCAGTCTAATCAGAAGGGCTTTTTTCCTCTGTAGGGCTGTTCCGTTACTAGGATATTTACCACAGGATTTAATCGGCACACCTGTCCTTCTCCATCTGCATCCGAATGATCGGCCAACCATGCTCGGCATCCACAGGAAGAGTGAGTTTATTTCAGTTTTTCTTCACAATAAAATATAGTTTAGGTTTAAAGTTTAATTATTTCCTGCATAACAATACCATGATTGAGTTATTGCAGAAATTGCAGCTATATTTTAGTACAAAATACCCCCAAAAAAGCTAAATAAAAATAAATATATGAAATAAAACATTTAAAAATGTGTTCCACAAAATCCAATCTAATAAACATAAGCTGCACTAATAAACACTGAAAAACTTAAGTGTACTACATACTTCATACTCAACCTGCATCCCAACATCAAAATGGGTTAAAAGTTGTCAAATAGGAATGATTGAGAGATTTTGCAATAACAGATAGACTTTGAAGTAATTTATAATAATTTTTTTTAATTATTAAACTTTTTATGCTCCTCTATTTAAATGCTACTAAATTAAAATAATAACGAATTTGTATATATTTCTTAGCATTTTTACTAATAACATGTTTGATGCTTCTCTAAATGCTTCTTTAAATGCTACTAAATGAAAATAATAATTTATTTGTTTATTTTTTTATGTTTAATTATTACATTTTTATGCTTTTCTAATTAAATGCTACTAAATTTAAATAATAATAAAATATATTTTTAAATTAATTCGTAATAACAGTTTTTAAGCTACTCTCAAATTAATTGCTACTATATAAAATAATTAATTTTTATAACTTTTATTTTTATCATTTTTAATAATTAAATTTGTATTTAATTAAATTTGTCTCTAATTAAATGCTACTAAGTAAAATTAATAATAAAATATTTTTATTAATTTTTTATAATTACATTTTTTTGCTTCTTTAATTCAATGCTACTAAATTTAAATAATTATTTTTTTATCGTTTTTTTAAAAATATTTTTAATAATTAGATTTGTTTAAATTGTTTAATTTGTTTATTTTTTATCATTTTTATAATTATATTTCAGTTTAAATCGTTTAATTTTTTTATTTCAATTTGTTTATTTATTTACTTTTTATCATTTTTTCTAATTACATTTATAATGCTTCTAACTTAAGAACCTTTTCAGCACTGCATGGAAATCAGTAGCAAATCCAAAACTGCAGCTAATCTAATGTATACACAAACATCTTATTTTATAGCATCCTGTAGAAATTATTCATTTAAAAGAGAGATCTGTAGGGGTATACTAAACATATACTTTTGGAATTTTTAATGTTATCTGAGATAGCATTAACATGGTATAGAATATTATTAATGTATATAATATATATTATAATGATTTTTATCTAGAGAGACTTTAAAGGAAATATTTTTCAATGTGAATCCTTCTAAAATGGTACAATTTTTATCAAAAGTAAACCTTAAAGAAGTGTTTTAGATTTTTATTTTGTGTGTTATTTATTGCTGTTGATATCATTACTATAGAAAAGAGACATTTATATGTATGATAATGTAAATCTGATCTGGTTTTGCATATGAAATATCCAGAGATGCTGATATGACAATACATTCGAAACTCTCTCTCAAAAGGCTATATTAAAGTAATGGTGAATCTTTTAGTTTACAGTGAAAGGAGTTTAAGTATCCTGTTTGAGAATGAAATGTTTGTGTCTCCTCAGTCCTGCAGTGCGCCGGTCAGCCTTTTGACCATTCGATCCGCTTTTGTGCTCGTAACGGAGAGTACATCACCATCGACACCAGCTGGTCCAGCTTCGTCAATCCCTGGAGCCGCAAAGTTTCCTTCGTCATCGGCAGACATAAAGTTCGCATGTAAGTTACATTCAGCTGTGTAGCGCTTTTCACTATGATTACTGTTCCAAAAGCAGCTTCAACAAGCACACATTATTGCATTATGGTCATTATGACACTATGTTATAGCTTTTAATGTTCATACTTTTGGAGCTTTGGTGTTGTATACATTTATATTGCTTGTTTTTTTAGTTGTGCATTTTTTTTACATATAAAAAAATCACACCAACACTAAACCTTAAAAACAATGGTTCCCAAGACCCCCTTTTCCGCTGGAAAATATTGTAAGCCCCCCCTCAACATTTATTGATAATATTGCTCATAATACTTTGCAGTAAGAATGACAAAAAAAATAGTTTTCAAACAAACGGTAAGTTTATTATTATATCTAGAAATGTTTATGCACAAATAGTCTGTGTAAAATGTAAAATATAAAAGCAAAACATCCGTAAGCCATCTGTAAATAAAAAAACATGAGCCTTTGGCCTTTAAATTGGCCATATATTAGTTGCAAATAAGTTGACAAATTTTCTTTTCAGTAGATGTGATGTCCCTCATCTCATTTTGGGTGGATGTCAATTCTTTTGCCTTGCGCTCAAAAAGTCCTTGTCGTGGTATTGGGGATAAGTCGTCTGCAAATGTCTGATTAATTTGGACGCCTCATGCATTCGTTAGCAAGAACTTTACCTTTGCACTGATTTGACACATTTTATGCTACAAAAAAGTCACAGCTATCTTAACTTTTTAATGACTGTTAACTCATTTTGACATTTTTATTTTTAAATTCGTTTTTTATGAATACATTTTCAAACTTTTGGTGTTGCTTACATTTATATTAGCTTTTTTTTTTTTAAATGTGCACCTTTTTGAAATTTTGTCCATTCTTCCAGGGGTCCGGTGAATGAAGACGTGTTTGCAGCTCCGGCTACTGCTGAAGGCAAATGCGTGGATTCTGACATCCAGGACATCACCGAGCAGATCCACAGACTCCTGCTGCAGGTGCCCAAACTCATTCACAGTAGAAAGATCCACATTAATGCTTCTAAATATAGACTGACCATGAGAGACATCAAAATCATTGGTTAAAAAAATATGTGTGTAATTTGCAGCCGGTGCACAATAATGGTTCAAGTGGCTATGGCAGTCTGGGCAGTAATGATCACCTGCTGAGTGTGGCGTCATCCAGTGAAAGCAATGGTAACGGGACACGACAGAGACATGAAGAAGAGGACATCAGGAAAGCCAAACCGGTGAGTCACATCATCAGTTCTAGCCATTTTTTACAAGTCAAATGTGTCCCTTTTATTCATGCCTTGAGAACTTTCCATAATAATACATTGTGTTACAAGCTACTCTGTAGGAAAAGTAGTTAAAGCTCCTGTCAAACTACACTAGAAAGAATGTTTTTTGCTGTTTGTTCAAACTATTTATTTAAAATGAGCTAAATCAACACAATTATTAATTAATTTTATGTTTTTAATTATTAATTGATTTTATGTTTAATCCACTTAAATTAGCAAAAACGATGTTGTATACGCACACAGACTTTTAGATTTCAGCCAGCCAGCCCAAGCGCTTCCAGTGAACTGCTGCACTATTATAAAATTGCCATGTTTAAGATCTGATTTTAAATGTAGCATTGCAAGAACTTAGATTAAGCACACAGTAACACTTTCTTTAAATAAAAGTGACAAATGGCTTCATTTTGGTAGGATATTTTTGTGAAGTCTTTTCTTTTAAAGGCTTTTAGATAATTACAGTTACTGAAAGAGTTGATATGCTGATAAGTGGTCATTGATTCAGTGTAAGCGTACAGTTATATACATTTATTTTTATACAACAAGTAGTCTAAGCGCCCCTGGATTTCACATTTAGCCCATCAAGTGCAACCGTTGTCCGAAATTAATGTTTGTTTTTTAAATACCATAAGTCTTTCATGGGGTTTCCACTACACATTTCAATATGATACATCATTTTTGTTATATTTACTCAAGTCTTAATACTTATCTTTTCTAAAGCAAGTCTGGTGGATTGATTAGTCTTTTTGTGTGTGTGATTTCTCAGAGGAGCTTTCAGGAGATCTGCAAAGGCGTTCACATGCAGAAAAACCAGGAGCTGCAGTCCAAGAAAAGCCCTACTAGTATGTACCCATATCCGCTACCATCTGTGCACCTCGTCTGTCATCAAAGTCTGTGGTTTTTTTAAGCAATCTGTGCTCAAATATTTCCAAGATTTGGTATCATATAATCACTATTAGTTTACATGAACAAAAATTGGATTGTAAATTGAACTGTGATATTGAAACCTCAGCAGATGGGATAGAGGAACAAAGGAGAATAGAAAAGAATAGAATAGAATACAATACAATACAATACATTACAATACAATGACAGAGTATAATGGAAAAGAATGGAATACAATAAAATGGAATAGAAAAGAATAAGTTAGAATGGAATAGAACAGAGTAGAATGGAACAGATAAGAATTGAACTGAATAGAACACAACAGACTAGAGTAAAATAGAATAGTATAGAATGGAATAGGATAGAATAGAACAGATGGGAGTGGTACTGAATAGATCACAATAGAATAGAATGGAATGGAATAGAAGGAAACGGAATAGAATGGAACAGAATAGAGTTGAACTGAACAGAATAAAAGATTCAATGTATTATTAGTTTGTATGCATTACTGTTCGAGGGAAATTAAAGGGATAGTTCACCCAAAATTAAATTTACTCACTATTTATTGGTCCTCAAGTGGTTACAGAGTTTATTGTTTCTTTCTTCTGTTGAACTCTAAAGAAGCTGTTTTGAAGAAAGCTAAAATTGGTATCCATAGTAGGGAAAGCAGATAGTTACAGGTTTCCAACATTCTTCAAAATATCTTCTTTTGTGTTCATCAGAAGAAAGAAACTCATGAAGGTTTGAAACATGTAAAGGGTGAGCAAATGTAACAGAATATTCATTTTTGGGTGCATTATCCCTTTAAGAGGTCATTTTCATCATGATTTTAGTTATATATGGTAATAAATGAATAGTTTTATTCTATAAGATTTCAATAATTTGTTCAAAAATAACAAAAACATTTACTGTTATTTTTTCATTTTATTTTTATTTTTTTAATATTGTATTAAATTCTTCTTTATGGGACATCCTGTAAAAAAACTTCCAGTAAGTTAGCACATTTTCTGTTATTTACCAGACATGATTCTTTCTATATTATTTTTTCTTATACAATACATTGTTTCAAACCACTAAACTGTCATTAAAAGGCACTTGGTTGTACTGAAGAGTTGAAATTTCATCATCAGAACTCTACAGATCACAAGTGAAGTCAAATAATGCAATTCATAACCGTAAATAAACACAAAAAAAGTCCTTTGAATCACAAAATACAGAACGCAGTTTTTACAGAAGTTTAGAATTTATTTTGAGTAATTGTGTAGCCTTCTAAAGCCTGTTTCTTCCTCCCCTGCAGAGTTTGTTCAGAAAAGTCCAGTGGTTCGACCGAAAGACTCTGCATATCCAGTGAACTGGAGAGAGTCTCAGGAGGAGCAGCGAGCGGCGGTGCAGGAGGAGCTGGCCTTCAAAGACCAGACTGTCTACTCCTATCAGCAGATCAGCTGCCTGGACAGCGTCATCCGGTACAAACACACACACACACACAGTCACATTACAACGGAAACTGCTGGAGACTGTCTCCGCTTGCAGACTAATGTAATGCACTTATCGATCGTGTTATGCTAAGCGACTGAATGAAGTGTGCTAGGAGGAACAATGATTCAGCAGAGCACATTAGATTTAGCAGGAGCTGGAATAACAGTTCTGGATGTCTAGCCTAAAGCCATGGAAAATGACGCAGCATTGAGACCTGCTCAGGTTTAAAGAGATTGATCACCCAGAAAGAACCATTTATTATCTGTTTACTCGCCCTCGAGGGGTTTTAAACCTTTGAGTTTCATTATTCTGTTGAACACAAGAGAAGAATTGCTGAGTAAATTAAGACAGAATTTTTGTTTTAGAGTGAACTATTTTTTTTAATCCACTTTACCCTGGTTATGGCTATGTTTTGTGTGTGTGTGTGTGTCTATATATATATTTAAAGTTTAAGTTAAAATTATTAGCCTTCCTCTAAAATTTTTATTCTTTAGAGTCTTTAAAATGCTGTTTAATAAAACATTTAGTTATTACAAAATAATTAAAACTATTTCATTTAAAATTAAAAAACATTAAGCAACACTTTTATGAAGGAAATAAATGTTTACAAGAAGGCTAATAATTTGGACTTTAACTGTATAATACTGCGCAAAACATGCCAGAGTAGTTTTCGGCTTATTCCACTTTAGTGACCCCTGATAAATCAGAGACTAAGCCGAAGGAAAATGAGTTAATGACTGTATATATCGTTTTTAAATATTTTAAATTCACGAAGATTACACATTTTTGCTGCGAACACACTGATATTTTTATTGTGTTTCTCTTGGGTTTCAAAGAGTTAAAACTACAGAGTTAGCGCACGTGTGTTGTGCACGTAAACCACGGTAAATAATGATTATAGGGTCTTAATGGTACAAAACAAAGTCATAAAGATGAAACTAACCAGATCAGAGATGCTTTTAGTTTACATTTTCTCCTGCTTTAGTCGTTTGCTAACCTGATGTGTGTGTCTCTTGATCAGCTATCTGGAGAGCTGTAACGTGCCCATTACAGTGAAGAGAAAGTGCCAATCCTCCTCCAACACCACGTCCTCAAACTCAGACGAGGACAAGCAGAGGAACGCTGACAGCTCCATGCAAGTCTCTGAAGGTACTGCAAACATCCACTTTGCATGTATTTGTGTTTACATATATAAAGGTTTTCTTTTTCATAGTTGAGCAGGTTTGAGCAGGTCAGATTCATTTTCTTCACAACTTTAACACAAATCTTTTAAAGCTTCATGATAAGATAATCATAGTTCGCCTATAGAATTTTCACATATTGTATCCGCCGCTGAGACTGCAGCTCTGCACAAGACGTTTGGCCTGCAGAGAAATTAAAATGGTTGTGCCCAACTGCGTCTGGTTCTCTCAAGGTTTTTTTTTCTTCACTTTCGCCAATTGGTGAAGGTTTTTTTCCCTCTCCGCTGTCGCCTCTAGCTTGCATGGTTTGGGATCGGTAGAGCTACGCATCAATGAATTTGCTCTTCAGTGTTTAGGCCCTCAGTAGTGATTATTAAACCACACTGAACTGAACTGAACTGAACTTAAACACTAAATACTGAACTACACTGTTCCAATTTACTATGATCTTTTATGTGTTCTGCTTTGGCGCTATCCGCTTGTTAAGTGGTGACGTGTTAGTGACGTATGTAATACTGTTTACGGGTCCAAGGCGCCATTCATTTGAGTGGAGAAATCATTCGTTTATGATCACTTTTTATTCATATCACACATTAAAGTAAATTTTACATAAAGTCATAGTGTACACAACAATCTCTGGGCTTGCTGCATAACAAATACCAAAATTTTAACAATTTATTAAACAATGAATCACTTTCTGGCCATCGGATATTAGGCATGGACATATATACTGCGATCGTGACTTTCGAAAGTATTAAATCGCTTTGTAAACGTTTATTATTACCATTTCATAAATCTCCCCATTCAGTTGAATAGAGTGCTTGGACCCGGAAGCCGCTCCGCGTGACACACTTAACAAGCGGATACAAATAAAGGTGAATTGAATTGAATATATTTCATATTCCAGTAAAGGGGACTATATTTTTATACAATACTACACTATATTTATGTTTAATGTACAGGCCAGTGGCTTTTATTATTTTAATAAATCCACCATAACCTAAAGCAGGGCCGGAGTGGGACTCATTTTCAGCCCTGAAGTTTCAAGCCTCAGACCAGCCCACCTCAGTTCACGACTGACTATATCAAAGTAACGTCATTTCCAATTCAGTTTCTAATGACACCATCACGTCTTTTCCAGGGAAACAGCTGCTTTAGAACTTCTAATAATTAAAAAAATATGAGAAGAATAAAGGGCAGCTAAAACTCCAAGCACTATTCTTTTAAACATCACAATGTCCTTTCCTGCAATATCTGAATATATATTCTGTGCAGAATTCTTTATAGATATTCAGTCCTTTGTAACAGTGGTCACACAAAAAAAATTAAAATAAAATATGTTCACCTATTAACCCAAACAGTATTACATGTCTTAACACTAAAAATAAAAAAACTCGGGTGAGGTTTGAACCCAGGTCAGCGCGTTATTGCGCAACGTGCTGACCACTGGACCACAATGGCGCTGTTATGAAGGTGCGTTTGGAGTAAAGATTAAAACAAGTATTGCAGTGTTGTCCGCAAAACTCTTAACCACAGTATTACTTTCTATTGATAGCTTAATCTTTTTCTCCGCTTTTTAGATTTCTGATCAAGTCATGTCAGATTTATTAATATAGTAAATCATCTGGTTTTTATTAAGCAGGTGTAATATTCATTAATTCACGGCTTCATTTGTGCTGGAACAGGCCGGATCTGAATCTGGATCCGATGCCTTCACTTTCTTTTCCGCGACTCCCCAACCCTCTTCACTTTCGTCCGCGACAACCAATATATATGCTCATGGGGCTGCGAGAAAATCAATAAAAAGAGCGGAGCTGCGGTACAATAATGAATAAAAAGAATGAGGCTATTGTCAAATAATTAAATAAATGAAAAAATTACGACTGCTGAGAGTGCAAGCAGCTAGGGCCCTCGCGGCCAAAAAACGGACCGGCCCATTGGGAATTCTTCCGCTCCTCCCGATTAGCCAATCCGGGCCTGACCTGAAGGTCATTTTTAGTTCTATAAATCACAAGAAGAAAAAAATATTCAACTAAATGAAACCACCCCATACACCACACACCCAATAATTCTGTCTACTTGGGGGAACTGCTAAAAACACTTATGGGAGCTGGCATAAGATCTCAGTTATCATCAATACCCCTTCAACCCACTTTGTTCAGCCTCCCTCTCCATTTGAATGAGTTTTGAGTGAGCTCTAACACTGCTTTGGTTTTGTGTGTGTTCAGAGCCGGCTCATCTGAAGGAGCAGTCAGGTCTGTCAACATTAGAGGTGTCGAAAAAGCCTCCAGGCTCAGGTGTAGTGAGTCCGTCTCTGACTCCTCTGGCTCTGCCCAGTAAGCCTGAAAGCGTGGTCTCCATCACCAGCCAGTGCAGCTACAGCAGCACCATTGTACACGTGGGAGACAAGAAAGGTAAATTCAGTTCCTTCTTTATCAGTGTTTCTTCTGACTGTCTTTCTGTTTCTTTCTCTCTTGTCTGTCTCTTCTTATGAACACTGTTTCTGTTACAAAACCTAGTGAGCTGCCTTGGTTTAATTTTACATTACGCATCGAGATAATAATATGATATAAAACATATTTCCTATTATTATTATTATTATTATCATTATCATTATTATTATTATTATCATTAATATTATTATTGTGGTTATTATAGTTTTTATTATTATTATTGTTGTTATTGTCATTATCATTAATATTAATATTGTTGTTATCATTGCTATTATTATTTTTTTATGGTTATTATTATTATTATTATTATTATTATCATTATTATTATCATCATTATCCTTAATATTAATATTGTTGTTATTGTTGTTCTTATTATTATTTTCATTATTTTTATTGTTGTTATTATTATTATTATTATCATCATTATCATTAATATTATTATTGTTGTTATTATTGTTTTTATTATTAATGTCATTATTTTTATTGTTATTATTATTATTATTATTACTAATATTATTATTATTATCATCATCATCATTATTATTTTTGTTTTTATTATTATTATTAACATTATTTTTATTGTCATTATTATTATTATCATCATTATTATTATTATTATTATTATTATTATTATTATCATTATTATCATCATTATCCTTAATATTAATATTGTTGTTATTGTTGTTCTTATTATTATTTTCATTATTTTTATTGTTGTTATTATTATTATTATTATCATCATTATCATTAATATTATTATTGTTGTTATTATTGTTTTTATTATTAATGTCATTATTTTTATTGTTATTATTATTATTATTATTATTACTAATATTATTATTATTATCATCATCATCATTATTATTTTTGTTTTTATTATTATTATTAACATTATTTTTATTGTCATTATTATTATTATCATCATTATTATTAATATTCATATTATTATTGTTATTAATATTATCATCAACATCATTATTATTATCATTATTTTTATTGTTATTATCATTATAAGTATTATAATTATTATTATTATTATTATCATCATCATTAATAATATTATTTTATTATTATTTTATTTTACTTCTATTTTTGCATGATTATAAAGGATTTATATATTTTCTATTTATATGTTTTCTGTTATCATCTGTACTCTTCAATATTTAAGAAATTGTATCTTCAAACTAAATATATATTGAATAGAAAATAAATTATTGTGTCATAAGAATGTTTGTAATGTAATGCATCATTAATAAATATTAAATATATTGTATAGCTAATGTAAAATAATTTACATTATTAAATAGTTTGTAAGAGTTTTAATATATAATAATGTCACGTTTTTGTTCAATTGTTGTTAATCTTGTTAGTGTAATTAATGAGCAATAATGTTAAAATAATAATATAAATGACAATAATATATTCATATCATGATACTGATGAGCTGTTTTTTCATATTGAAAACGATATGATTTAAAATCTGTACTATTTTTTGAATAACTGAAACTATTTTAAATCAGTTTAAATTAATAAATCTTTCAATACAAGTCTTAAAATACAAATTAAACTAATTAAAACAGTATAAATTACTGTTGCATTTCATGATACAAATGAAATTACGATTTTAAATCTGTACTATTTTATTTAAATCACTTATTTAAAACAATAAACATGTATTTAAATTTCAGTGTATTTGCTGTTAAATCATCAGTGTTTTTCAATTTTGAACTAAATGTAAAATCAGCACACACAACTATACAACTAAAACAAATCTATATTGAACAATTTATTCATACATTAATTTTCCTTGGGGTTATTCATTTGGGGTTGCCAAAGTGGAATGAACCACCATATTAAATGATACAGAGATTAAAAAAAAATAATAAAATGAAACTCTACCTATGAAGCTCACATGGTTTTGAATACATTTATCTGTATTAGAGCTATAAGTGTTATGTCTGTTCCCTGGTAAAACACCTTTTTTGTTTTAGTCGTGTCGTCAACAAGACACATCTCTACAAAGCAAGAATACTCTTCCAAACTCCAAAGTTAGTAAACCCTTATGACATAGGGACAAAAAAAAAGATTGATCGTGAAGCCCTGGAGTTGATGACTAAAATAAAGACGCACATCACTCTGGCGGGGCTTCAAAAAAATTGCATCTTATCAAATTCTGCATTTTCCCATGGCTCCCATCCCAACATGCATGAAATAAAGGCCTTGATGCAGCCCATACAAATCAACTGCTGGTCGTTTCTCCTGTGTTTTGGCGGGACGTTAGCTCACCGTTTTGTTTTTTCCTGCAGAGATCATTGAAGATGTTCCCAGCGCTGAAGGCACAGATGTTCAAGGTCTCGCCGTCCCTCCGGCCGCAGTTTCGCCTCAGAATCAGGAGCGAGAGGCGTATAAGAAACTGGGTTTGACCAAGCAGGTTCTGGCGGCTCACACGCAGAAGGAGGAGCAGGCGTTTCTCAGCCGCTTCAGAGAGCTGAGAGGGGTCCACGCTTTTAAAGCAGACTGCTCCCTCTATCTGGAGAGGCAGAAAGGACAGGTCACGTCTGAAGGTAAGCACACCTTTGAGTCTGAAAAATAACAAGAAAGTAGCAAAAACTGATGTTTTCAATTTGCTGCTGGTGGGATTTAAAGGAGGGATAAAACCGCTTAACAGGCTCATCAGCAGCCCAACACAAAGCCAAGGGCTCTTATAGTTGACTGAAGAAACAATCGAAAACAACCATCTAGATGTACATTATCCCACTTATTACACCTCTAACAGAAGTAGACAATTATTCCTACAGTTAAAGTCAGAATTATAAGACCCCCTGTTTATTTTTTTTATTTCTGTTTATTGCAGAGCAGATTTTTTTCTACGCATTTCTACACATAATAGTTTTAATAACTCATTTCTAATAACTCTAATAAATTATCTTTGTCATGATGACAGTAAATAATATTTGACTACTATTTTTCAAGACACTTCTATACAGCTTAAAGTGACATTTAAAGGCTTAACTAGGTTAGTTAAGTTAACTAGGCAGTAATTAGGCAAGATACTCTATAACAATGGTTTGTTCTGTAGACTAAACTTATTAGTGGCTAATAATATTGATCTTAAAATGGCTTTAAAAAAAAATAAAAACTGCTTTATTCAAGTCGAAATAAAACCAATAAGACTTTCTCCTAAAGAAAAAATATTTCAAAGGGGGGCTAATAATTCTGTTTGCAACTCTACAACATCTCTTTGTTCTGTAATAATACTTTCATTAAATGTAAAGCCTGCAGTCACAATTATTTTGTCACAAGATGGCGCCAAACATTTAAGAACAGCTGCATGACTGATAAGCTTAGATCTATTGACCTTATTCTAAAATGTGGAAGTGCGCCTGTTTTCGCGATTGTCTTAGAACTTCCGATTCAGTCGCCTATGGTAGAAATGACTAGGAATAATAAACGGCAGAAAATGGCCAAACTACTTTCTCAACAAACAAATGTTTGCATGACTACACAGACCAAGTAGCATAATATAATAAGAAAATATTAAATTGCAACATCAAGCAGCGTAACGAGCAGTTGTTAACGTCAAAAAATGAATGGAAGTGAATGTGACCGGAAGTCTCGAGACAAAAATATTCAAATGGCAGCGCCTGCTCGTCAGCTGAGAATAAGGTGAATAACTTATATCTATCTATCGTCCAAACAATTAAATATTTTCTGTAGTAACAAGTCTTATGTTATTGTTTATTAATTTATTTTAGTCAGTAAAAGTTATTATTATAATTCTTATTAAATTAAAAGTTTAATATTATTGGTATTAAATCGCTGTTATTAAACAATTAATTTTTTAAGTATAATACTTTTCACTTTTCTTAATATTCACTAATTTTGATAGTAATTAAATGGCATAATAATAATAATATATATTTTGCCCAATATTTATTGTTTTAAAGTTTTATTTATTACATATATTTTAGTGTTTTTATTATTATCATTAAATTTCTAAATATGGTCCATGTTGTGCATCTCTAAAAATGAGCTGCAAGTCTGGATTGTAAATTGAAAGTCATGTTGTTCATGACTGCCAAAATGATGTTCGAAATTGCAATTATTTTTTCCCAATATATTTTATGCCAGTTATATATATACATGAACTTTGAATTTTTTTCTCTTTTTTTATATTTCCCAAATGATGTTTAACAGAGCGAGGAAATTTTCACAGTATGTCTGAAGATATTTTTTCTTCTGGAGAAAGTCTTATTCGTTTTATTTCGGCTAGAATAAAAGCAGTTTTTATTTTTTTAAACACCATTTTAATGACAAAATGATAAGCCTCTTTCGTTTCGTATCATTATAAAATAACTTGCCTAATTACCCTAACCTGCCTAGTTAACTTAATTAACCTAGTTAAGCCTTTAATTGTCACTTTAAGCTGTATAGAAGTGTCTTGAAAATTATCTAGTCAAATATTATTTACTGTCATCATGGCAAAGATTAAATAAAACAGTTATTAGAAATGAGTTTTTATTACAAATATGTTGAAAAATCTTCTATAATTCTGACTTAAATAATTAATATTTTAATTAAGACTTTAATAATTCTGACTTCAACTGTGTATATATATATATATATATATATATAAATATATATATATATATATATATATATATATATATATATATATATATATATATATATATATACCATCTAGTTTTATAATAATAAGTATCCATAAATTTATTCTATAACCTCTTTCTGTCTCTCCAGCAGTCCCTGCTGCTCGCTCATGCAAGGCTGGAGGTGGCGGCGCACAGGAGACCACCACAACCCGCAGGGGGCGCAACAAAAAGACCAAATCCAAGCGAGTAAAGCCGAATGAGTCGTCAGACAGCACTCCATCAGGCCGTAGACCTGCACACAGACCTCAGCTCCAGGGCCTTAACCAGACGTCCTGGTCTCCCTCAGACACGTCCCAATCCACATTCCCTATCGCCTATCCTGCCGTGATGCCTGCGTATCCGCTACAGATGTACCCAGGAGCTGGTGGTATGCAGCCCAGAGTGGACCCTCCAATGCCAGGCTTTGGGGAAAGTCAATGCGCACCAGATCCACGCATCCCAATGCAGCCCATCCAGACGCCATATTCTGCTCCACTAGTCACGCCGATGGTGGCGCTGGTGCTGCCTAACTACATGTTTCCACAGGTGGGCAGCGCTCCACGCCAGGCTTTCTACCCCCCAAAACAGGGACCATTCCCCACCCAGCCCACCTTTCAGACTCAGCCTGGTTTCACACCGCAGGCTTCATTTCCCCCGCAGTCGACGTTTACAATACAAACACAGTTCACCTCCCAAAACCCCTTCAGCTCACAGCCTACATTCCAGCCTCAGCCATTTCCATTCGCATGTCCTGAAGACCCACCCAAAGCACCTGAGCCGGAGCTGAGGGAGGAGCAATCCCGAAGCCCCACCCCTCAGTCAATGGGTGGAGGCGGACCTCCATCTCCACCTCTGTTCCAGTCACGGTGCAGCTCGCCCCTACAACTCAACCTGCTCCAGCTGGAGGAAACGCAGCGCTCGGCTGACAGACAGGAGAACACAGCGCCATCTGCTGTACCACTGAACAACTGCAGTACAGGGGTGGAGAAAGCGGGCAGCGTGACTGCTCAAAGCAAACCTGTTAAGGATGTGGTGCAGGTTTGTAATCTGATTATGGCTTTCTTTGACTTGTTGTAATGTTAAAGGGATTGTTCACACAACATTTAATCCTTGTTTACTCATTCTCAAATGTAGATCAGGGGTGCGTTTCCCAAACAACGGCATAACTCGCAGCTAAACAATCATAGTACGCTGCATAGTTTGTGAAAGGAACTATGTAGTGACGAGTGTTTCCCAAAACTTGTAGTTGTTCTGTCGCAGATCCGACATTTGAACCACATTAGTTATAACGTAAAATGCCCATAATGACGCTCTTAACTGGGTGGAATAACTACTTCTTTAGAGAAGAACCCCATCATTTCTTTGTGCAAATTATATTTTTTTCACGCACATGCATTTAAAATAAAATCCAATATTAGTTTGGGTAAAAACATGCACTCGCTTTCATATTAACTGAAATATAACGGCACATATAGGCCCGATGTTTCCTTTACAAATATTATTGAGAATATTACATATTGTATTCTAAAACATAAAATCATATACAAAAGCTAACACTATTCTAATATCATATATAAATCATATAAATAAATAAATAAATAAATAATGAGGCGATTTGTTTAAATTTGATTAAATTCAATATTTATTATTTATTAGGAAATAAAAAAAATCCTACTTTAATAATAATAATATTAATGATGATGATGATTTTTTTTGTAGGAATTTTTTTATTATTATATATTATTTTTTTAGAAAAGTCTACTTTTATAATTTGACACTTGTAAACCACTGCAGAAATGTTCTAACCAACAGGTCCACGTCTTTTATAGTACAGATACTTAATAAATAACCTACTTTAAATTAAAAGCATTAACATATGCTATATATTTTGTTTTCACAAGCTTTGGAGACGTAACAGAAATTCTGATTTTGAATAATAGGTCACCTATAGCTTTCATCATGAGCCACGGCTGTGTTCAAAATGGCATCAATGTTTTCAAAGTGCACTGCGAAGGGAACGCAATTATAAACATGAAGATCGCTAAAACTGAACTTTAAAGTGCGTTGAAAGAAAATTACACCTAACAGAGTGATGACTTTAATGCTTTTTTATCATTCAAAGTTTGAATGTTTGAATGTTCTAAATGAATAGGGCATAGGGGTGATAACTAGGAATAAAACACAGCCAGGAACTATGTTTCTAACTACAGCTTTAGAGGTGTAGTTGCAAGCATACAAGTTTGCGAACGGTGGATTTGGGAAATGCCAAATCAACAAACTATGTTTGTAGTAATGCAACTTGCGACTTTAATTGTCTAACCATGGTTGTCGGAAACGCACCCCTGGGCGTTATGACAAAAAATACCATAAGACATATCATATCCTGATTATGATATACAGTTGAAGTCAAAATTATTATTTTTTTCTTTTACAAAAATTTCCCAAATGATGTTTAACTGAGAAAGGAATTTTTCACAGTATTTCCTATAATATTTTCTTCTGAAAAAAGTCTTATTTGTTTTATTTCGGCTAGAAAAAAAAGCAGTTTTACATTTTTTTTAAAACAATTTTAAGGTCAATATTATTAGCCCCCTTAAGCAATACATTTTTTCAATAATCTACAGAACAAACCATCGTTATACAATAACTTGCCAAATTACTCTAACCTGCCTAGTTAACCTAATTAACCTAGTTAAGCCTTTAAATGTCACTTTAAGCTGTATAGAAGTGTCTTAAAAAATATCTAGTCAAATATTATTTACTGTCATCATGGCAAAGATAAAATAAATCAGTTATTAGAAATGAGTTATTAAAACTCTTATGTTTAGTAATGTGTTAAAAAAAATCTTCTCTGTAATGTACAGGGAGGCTAATAATTCAGGAGGGCTAATAATTCTGCCTGTATATCACAATATTTCTGTAAATCCAGTGAATAATTTATATATATTGGCCACGTGTTAAGGACTGTTTCTTTTTTACATTTGAAAGTTTTCACTCAGATGTAAACTTATTCATATGTGATCATATTGCTTTATTTCGATTTTCAGGGATAATGTTTAATTTAGATTGTCGAAATATAAAATATAAACAACTTTTTAAAACAAAAAAACTAATGATTAGAGGATCATCAAAAGAATTCAAAATGCAAAATACTGCAAAATACTGCTAAATAATATGCAAATATAAACAGTGTAGTTTCAAGATGACACTCTTTTCACTTTGCTTTTATTCATTTTTTGGTCTGCATCCCCATGATGGCGTGTGATACTGTGCTCATGTAGATTATTCAAAGTATCACAGGAAACAATATCACATGACAATATAAACGATAGAGCATGACATGAATTGATAGGCTTTTTATTTTGTCCATATGATTGATATATATATATATATATATATATATATATATATATATATATATATATATATATATATATATATATATATATATATATATATATAGGAATATGTTTACCTGCAGGTAATTGCAGGTAATGTCATATTGCACAGCCCTTACTCAGGTGGTTACAAGTTTGTTTGAGTTTCTTTTTGGTGTTGAACACAATTAGATTTGTTTGATGAATGTAAATTTTTAGCTTTTAGCATGTGTGTAGTAAGTCAGTGACTGCCTTTTTCAGCATTCTTCACACTTGTTTTGTTAAACAGAGGAATAAATATGTGAAGGGTGCGTAACTAATGACAGATTTTTAATATTGGAGTGATTTTTTTCTTTAAAGTGTGATTTTGTTTATTAATTCCATGTTTAAAACAGTATTGTTCAATATGTTTTATGAACAGCAAGGCAATAAAAGGCAAATAAATTCACATGTAATACTTGTACATTACCAAAAGATGGCAGTGTTTGCATCCTAAGCATCTTGCTGTAAAAGCATGCAGTTATTGCGTTAATAATAATAATATTATCGCAAAGTTAATATCTTTATTTTAAGAAAAGTAAGCAACTGCTAATTAATTAGTCAATAATGCTAGCTATAAAAATGCCATTTTACATTTATCGATGTATTGTGATATTAATACAATTTCCCCAGTTGACTTTGAGCAGCTGTACTTAGAGAGGGTTTTCTTTCCTTTAGAATGACCGGGGTTCATTTGTAGGGGATAATTCAAAATATTTAGATGGATTTTGTTTTGTACCATTTCACTCTTAATTATGTTCAATTCATGTATTTCCTATTTTTCTCTGTTTTTTTAGGATGAAGGATCACCTGTGGATGGTCAACACAGCGATGCGCTCTCTTCATCAAGTGACCTGCTGGACATCCTGCCGGAGGACTCGCGCTCGGGCACCGGCTCTGCCACATCTGGCTCCATGGGTTCAGGATCAAACCGCTGTGGGACGTCTGCCAGCGGAGGATCTGCCAGCAGAACTGGTGAGCATTGAAGATTTTATTGCTGATCTGAAGGGTCTAAAGTTTACACAACATCCAAAGTTATAAATCCGAAATGCTTGTTGCGCATCAAATCAGCATTTCAGAATCATTTCTGAAGCATCGTGTGACATTAAGCATGGGTCTCAAACTCAATTTCTGGAGGGCTGCAGCTCTGCACAGTTTTGCTGCAATCCTAATCAAACACAAAACACAGCTGATCCAAATAATTGAGGTGTTTAAAAATGTCTTGAACACCTTGATTGGTTGCATGAGCTGTGTTTGATTAGGATTGGAGCAAAACTGTGCAGAGCTGCGGCCCTCCAGAAATTGAGTTTGAGACCTATGCTGTAGAGTAGTGATGCTAAAAAAAGCTGATTTGTTTCACAGAAAGTATTGATATTAAAGCGATCACACAGAAAAATAAATATTCACTTGAGTTGTTCCAAGCCTTTGGAAGTTCTTTATTTGTTCCAACATAAAAGAAGATATTTTGAAGAATGCTAAAACCCTGTGACCATTAACGTCTATAGTAAGTAAAACAAATGCTATGGAAGTCAATAGTTACAGGTTTCCAAAATCTTTCAAAATATATTATAGTATGTTCAACAGATTTAAGAAACCCATAAAGGTTTGAAACTTGTAAAGGGTGAGTAAATTAGGACATGGATGATGTCAAATGTGTAGAGTCTTGGACCAATAAACAATATTTAATAAGTGACGTATAGGCCAAAAAGCCCAGAATTTTACATTTGACCGATGCATGAAAAACTGCAGTGTTTAACCTTCAAACATGAATGACTGCAAGCCTTAAATGTAAACACATGTAATTAAAGGAATGCCATACTGCCATTTATTATAGCTTCTTCTAGTTTTCTAGTTTTTATTTTAAATGTTTATGTTTTTTATTGTTCTAATAATGTCTGCCAGTCAAATCAGTACTGCACATACTGTAAAAACACTGTCGTTGTTATTCGTAACATCTTTATAAACAAACGTGTGAAAGCAACTGCAAAACAGGAAGAAACGCATTATCTAAACAGAGAATAATTAATCAACACATACTCAAACATATATTTTCCACTTCCCTTAAATTATTTTGTAGCTTATTTGTTTTGTGTTACAGTACAGACTGGCTCTGCTTTCAACTTTTAATGGGGCACTCATTTAAACACTGACTGGAGTTTAACTGGGGGTTATTACAAGCCTTTAGAACTAAAAATATATTTAGTAATCAATAGCTAGGTTTCCACCCACCTAGTTTTATGCATATTTTTAACTGTTCCATAAAAACTGCTTGATGGAAACACCAAGATGTTCATACATTTTTAAATGCGGATTAAAAAAAAAATGTATGTGCACAGCTTAGTAGAGTTAACTTTACCTTATTAGAGAAAAAAAAGTGCATAAACTATGAAGGAAACCCATTTGATGGATAGATTTCATTCATTCATTTTTCTTTGGCTTAGTTTATTATTTATCAGGAGTCACCCCAGCGGAATGAACCATCAACAATTCCAGCATAAGTTTTACACAGTGCTTCCAGCCACAACTCAATACTGAAAAACACCCATACACACACTTATTTACACATATACTACAGCCAATTTAGTTCATCCAATTCACCTATAGTGTAAATCTTTGGACTGTGGGGGAAACCGGAGCACCCGGAAAAAACCCGCACCAACATGGGAAGAACATGCAAACTCCACACAGAAACGCCAACTTGCCGAGACTCAAATCAGTGACCTTCTTGCTGTGAGGCGTCAGTGCTAACCACTGAGCCACCGTGCCGCCCGGATAAATTTCAGTATACAACAGATGATGTGATGGAAAAAAAATGGGTGTGATTGGACAATATTTAATAAACAAACCAGCAGAATGACCACATTATAAAAGATTTGAAGTGTTGTGTTGGTCATCCTAAAATCCCTCAGCCAAAGTCTGTCATCAAAGCGGTTCAGCGGTCCAGCTTTCTTTTGAGCATCTGCACTCCCGAAGATCATCTCACGCCTCCAAAAGACACTGTGCATTTCATCTTCTGAGCTGATTGTCATTTATTATATTAGAAAAGGCCCTCAGTGACTCTTACCACAGCAGATTACATTTTTCTTTTTGATATTTTGAGCCAGTTTATCACAATTTTGTTCCCTTTGACTCATTGAACATAAACTGTACATTATTCGCAAATGCTTTATGCAATATATTAGATTTGTGCGTACATTTAATTCACATCTTTAGAGGGAAACAAAGCTTGTGTTACTGAAATACCATATAAGCTTCTGTGCTTGATTGTAAAGTGTTAAAAGTCCATTTCTCTGTCCTCTTTTCATCGCAGAAAGCAGCAACAAGAGCAACAACAGCAGTAACTACTTTGGCAGTGTGGATTCCTCCCAGAAATCCCACAAGGCCAAGGGTCAGGGCTCTGGTGTGCTGGCTCTGGACGGCAGTGAGAATCTGATCAAGTATGTCCTGCAGGACCCGCTCTGGCTGCTCATGGCCAACGTGGACGAAGATGTAATGATGTCATACCAGTTGCCTTCTCGGTGAGTGTGCGACTGGAGAAACAGACACCACTCTCCCTCACCCCTGCTACTAGCGATTCATTCAGTAACTTTCCTTCAGCACAGTCCCTTTATTTATCAGGGGCCACCACAGCGAAATGAACCACCAACCCAGTACAGGGAAACACACATACACTCTCGCATTCATAAATATAAACTACGGCTAATTTAGTTTATTCAATTCACCTTTAGTGCATGTCTTTGGACTGTGGGGGAAACCCACGCCAACACCAGGAGAACATGCAAACTCCACACAGAAACGCCAACTGACCCAGCTGGTACTCAAACCAGCGACCTTTTTGCTGTGAGGTGCTAACCACGGAGCCACCGTGCAGCCCTACTAGTGATTCCCGCCTTAAAATAACCAAGCCAAGCCGTCCCTCACCTTCCTGCGCTACATCAGGCAGCATTTAGTAGTTTATCATTTCAACACACCTCCATACCTCAACTATTCTGACACAGTGCATTAATGTCAGAACACGTCAGAAGCTAAAAGTCGGCCTAAAGCTGTAGTAAATAGCTGCAGCCTATTAGCAGTTATCAAATAAAGCATAAATTACGATGGCATTCATTATAAATTGTGTCGAGAGAGAAAATCTTGAAATGTTAGCTGTACTCAGAACAGAATATGATCAAATTTAGAATATCAACATTGTACAAAATGATGTATAAAAACGTTAAATCACAAATAATAATAGTCTTCATTTTAAACTTTCAATTCAAGTGTGTATATATCTCGCCCTTTTCACAATAATCGTTGTTTCGAAGCAGCTTTACAAAAGGTGCTCATTATTGCATTATTATCAAATTCAGAAAACTTAAGGTTATTAGTTACTATAACTTTATTAGTTACTAATAACATTAGCTTATAGCTTTTAGCAGTTAAAGTTATTATAAATAAACATAGTCAAAATGCAGGTATATAGTTTATAGGAGATGTCTACAGTTGAAGTCAGAATTATTAGCCCCCCTGAATTATTAGTGCCCCTGTTTATTTTTTTCCCCAATTTCTGTTTAATGGATGGAAGATTGTTTCAGCACATTTCTAAGCATAAGAGTTTTAAGAACCTATTTCTAATAACTGATTTATTTTATCTTTGCCATGATGACAGTAAATATTATTTGACTAGATATTTTTATTTTTTTCAAGACACTTCTACACATCTTAAAGTGACAATTAAAGGCTGAACTAGGTTAATTAGCTTAACTAGGCAGGTTAGGTTAATTAGGCAAGTTATTCTATAATGATGGTTTGTTATGTACACTATCGAAAAAAATTTGCTTAAAGGGGCTAATAATTTTGTCGCAAAAATAGTTTTTAAAAAATTCAAAATTGCTTTTATTCTAGCCGCAATAAAACAAATAAGACTTTTTCCAGAAGAAAAAATATTATCAGACATACTGTGAAAATTTCCTTGCTCTGTCAAACATTATTTGGGAAATATTTAAAAAAGAAAAATAAATCCAAGGGGGGCTAATAATTCCGACTTCAACTGTATGTGCACATGTTCAATGAAGTGTGTTGTCCTTGAAGGACAAGTGAGCTCTATAAACAATGGATGTCAGAGAAATTTATTTAAGTTGAAGTTTGGAAATCTGTATATACAGTTTATAAATCAAACATGCATTATTCATTATGAAGGCATTTGGTATTAACCATGTGGGCCAAGTATGTATACTAGGCATAAAAATGTCTAGCTAAAGCTAAAGCAGGGATTCTGCAGGTTTCACAAAGATAAGACTTTAAGACGTTTTTTTAAGACCATCATGAATTATTTTTTAAACTTATACAGAGCTAAATGCTAAGGATTCTTTTCGAATATCCTAGTTAGAAAAGATTTTCACTTGCCCTATCAATAGATGATTTAATTCCATTTACAAACCCTTATTAAGAATAGAACAAAACAAAGCTGTCAAGTACTTCAGTCTACAATAATAATAATAATAATAACAAATGAATAATAAAATATATAGGTCAGGTCAGTATCATCTCAGCAGTAAATAAATGCAGAACTTTTAAGCAAATTTTACTGTAAGTAATTAAATGCTCTTTTTAAATAAAAAGTTACTTTTTTTTCTGAGATTGGTATGTTGGTGATTGTATGGGTGTTAACGGCCAGATTTGGTAGCTATACATGAACAAAGGAAAATTAAGACCTGTAAAAAAAATGATTTAAGACCTACAACACAGTATTTCAGTAGATTTAAGACTTTTTAAGACCCTGCAGTAACACTTTAAAGCTAAAAAAAAAACCCAGCTCTTATTCAAAATAGATACAATGGTTTTCATAATTAGCAATTTAGTTTTTTTCTGTGCAGATCAATTCTCCCAGTAAATTAGTTTTATTAAAGTGATTCAAATCATTTAGTGAAACGTCGTTGTCAGATTTGTCCATTAGGGGGCGCTGCAGATATTTCCGTGTGCACACTGAAATATATTTTTCTTTCAGCTTTTTTAGAATTTTAAAACAATTAGCATAAGTTCCAGCAGATTCCAAAACAAAAGTACACTATACATTATATAACTTTAGGTTAACTGTGTATATACAGTAGTCCAGTGTTTCCCAACCCTGTTCTTGAAGGCACAACAACATTCCACATTTTCAACCTCTTCCTTAACAAACACTCCTGGATCAACTCATCAGAACATTACAAGAGACTCCAAAACCTGAAATGAATAGGTTACATAAGGGAGACATCCAGAATATGTACTGTTGGGGTGCCTCCAGGAACAGGCTTGGGAAACACTGTATCAGTACATGTTTGAAGTGGATCGAAAATGTTTTTTTACATATGTCCTAACACAACAATAAATGTTGTTGAACTGTTTTAGAACAACTTTTGTGAAAGTTAGGATTCTCTTAAAATGTTGACAGCTGTATACATTGTCCACCTTATACACAACTGTTTCTCAACCACGTTCTAGGGGGACCACTAGCACTGCATGTTTTGGATGACTCCTTTGTCTGTCACACCCATTACAGGTCTTTCAGTCTCTGCTAATGAGCTGATGATCTGAATCAGGTGTGTTTAGTTACGGAGACATGGGCTGCGTTCAAAGCCGCATACTTCCATACTATATAGTACGCTAAAATGCGAGCCGAGTAGTATGTCAGAATTCATAGAATTCGAAAATCAGTACGCGAGAAGTACCCGAATGACTTACTACTTCCGGCGAGATTCTGGAGTGTGCATCCCATGCTCTCTGCGCTATCCCATAATTCCCTGCAAGAGAATTCATGAATGGAAGTCAAGCAATGCAACTGATGCAGGTAGGTCACATGACCATGACAAAACGGCAGATGTAGTACGTCCGAATTCCATTCATGCAGCTCACATTCATTCTGTATAGAACGTACTTTTCTAACGGCCGAGTGCATTTAAACTCAAATGCAGTATCTACTGAGTAGTAGGCGGTTTTGGACGCAGCCATGGAAAATGTGCAGAGCTGGTGGTCCTCCAGAAACGTGGTTGGGAAACACTGCTATACACAATTGATTTAGATTGTAATGTAATAACAGCGCTTTACAAAATAAACTTGAATTGAATGAATTTGTTTATGTCATGATCTTTAATTGACCTGTTCATCCTCATGAAACCAACCAGTGGAGGCAGGCATGGCATTGAAGCAAATCTATTCTTCCCTTTCTCAGAGACATCCAGAAGGTGCTGTGGGAGGACCGAGAGAAGCTGCGTCAGATGCAGAAGAGTCAGCCGCGCTTCACAGACGAGCAGAAGAGAGAGCTGGCCGACGTGCATCCCTGGATGAGGAGAGGAGGACTGCCTAAAGCCATCGACATCAAGGTCAGCACACACAACAACACATACAGTTGAAGTCAGAGTTATTAGCCCCCCAAATTATTTAGTTTTTTTCCGAAATTTGTGTTTCAATGAGAGCAGATTTTTTCAACACATTTCTAAACATAATAGTTTTAGTAACTCATCTCTAATAACTGATTTATTTTATCTTTGCCATGATGACAGTAAATAATATTTGACTTGAGTTTTTCCAAGACACTTCTATACAGCTTAAAGGGACATTTAAAGACTTCACTAGGTTAATTAGGTTAACTAGGCAGGTTAGGGTAATTAGGCAAGTTATTGTATAATGATGGTTTGTTCTGTAGACTATCGATAAATAATATAGCTTAAATGGGCTAATAATCTTTACCTAAAAATGGCTTTTAAAAAAATTAAAACTGCTTTTTTTCTAGCCGAAATAAAACAAATAAGACTTTCTCCAGAAGAAAAAATATTATCAGACATACTGTGAAAATTTCCTTGCTCTGTTAAACATCATTTAAGAAATATTTTAAAAAGAAATAAAAAAAGGGGCTAATAATTCTGACTTAAACTGTATATTTACTCAGCATTTTGTCATGATATATTTTTTCTGAAGCCTTTGTTATTATGTATGCAGATTTAATTATTTTCCCAAGTGTTGATTAATGGAGAGAAGACATTTTTAAATATGATCGTTTGAATTATTAATTTCTAATAACTCTTTTATTTTGTCTTTGACAAGATGACAGTTTAGTAATACCTCTAGGAGTTTTTCCAGCTGTGGCGGCAGGCCTTTTTTACACAGACCTGTGCCGTTATTTCAATGACAAATGTCGTGAGCTCAGTTTTACAAGTCGAGATCCATTTATGTAATAGCCTACGAGCATGCGAATCTCTTTGCTTGCGCGCCAATTTCCTCTGCTCGTGCACAAAACTTCTTGCACGCCCCCTCAAATATAAGCTGCTTCAAGAGCGTGCAGATCTTCTTGTGTGCTCTCAAATAAACGCTGCTGAAGTGCGATTTAATGCGTTTATGTAACTAGTATGTCTCCAACATTTATTAGATTTGCTAGGAATATTTATGAATGTCTCTTATAGAGCTACAGAGCGATATTAATGCATTCTGAAGTAAAGTGAAGCGGTTTACGGTCAGTCAGGACTTAACATTAAAGGGTTAAATAAATGACGCACAGCACTACTGCGGTTACAGAAAAGTTTGTTATAATTCACTTACCTTTTATTACATTCTGGTGCGATTATTACTCGCTATTAAAAAAATTCAATGTTTTGAATGAGAAGCTGTAATGTAGCGTGGCGCCCCGCCATGGAAGAATGAATGTAGCGGAAACCATGTAGCACATAATATTTGACTAGATATTTTGCAAGATACTAGAATCCAACTTAATGTGCAATTTAAAGGCTTAACTGGGTGAATTTGGCATTTAGGTTAATTAGGGAAGCTACTGGATAACACAGTTCTGTAGACTATAAAAAAATGAAGGAGGCTAATGATATTGCCTGATTCAAGAATAAACGGAAACACTTCACTGCAATCTAGAAACCTTTACATTGTCAGTATAGACATTTTTCATGGCTGCTGCATGGAGGGCGCCATAGTGACCAGCGTCTTCCGGTAGAATGCTAAAAACTTCTGTTTACAGCGTGTACAACTGGTAATTTGCGCTCCGAAAATCAATTTCAATAACGTTTTTAATGGATAACAGAGTGTTTTTGTGACACACAACTTAGAAATGTGTCTGGTAAAACCGTTATAATCTGTCACATGTGGTTCAAGCGCGTCAGAAATACGAAAAAAACGTCCCCTAGTTTATGTGTCTGCCGTCAGAAAACAGTGTGTGTGTGTGCGTTCCCGGCCTGTCAGCTGTTAGCTCAGCGGCTCTTTAACACACGCACACACACCACACAGAGAGAGAGAGAGAGAGCGAGAGCGAGAGAGCAAACCAGAGTACTGGCATGAAACTCAACAGGTATGAAAGTCGTGCAATTTACAAAAATGACCAATAACAGTCTATTATTGATACTTTGCTGGCTGATTTGCTGTTCTTTCTAATCGTTAGGGTTAGGGTTAGTGAGCCGTTTGTGTTTTATTTTGTGTGTTGTATTCACCACAGTTTGTGTTTTTCTGTCATTTCGAAATGACACTAGCCTATATTTTCACTTTGTCACAGTTATTAAATCAGTGTGTCAGTGGCACACTACAGGCTACGTGTGTGTGTCAAACATTTAGGTGAATTACATTTGTTTGGGCTGGTTATATATTTAAAATAAAGAGAAAATGTTGACTTTAGCGATGACAAGGCTTCATGTAAACTGCAGAAAATGCCGTCTGACATCGAGGGGAAAACGCCTCACAGCAGCTGTTTTCCATCCTATTAGATCGCATTTCTTTAAGTGATCAGTCCAGGAGATGGTGCTGATGGACAACAGTATTAGCTCAAAGAGGATAAAAGCAGGTAAAATAGATTAAAACTATCGTTTCAAAGCTGTCCAAATGTGACCGTTTACACGCATCAGCTGCCGACCGGAAGTTCTTTGCATTCTCCTTGCGCATACACGCAAAGCATCATGGGTAATTTTGCGTTCCAAGAAAAAGGTCTATAAGTACGCCATTTCATGTACCCAATTGACAGCTATAGTAAATGAACACTGGCATGCTCATGATCATCTCCTCTGTTATAGTATGATAAGCTGAAGAGTGATTAATGGAGCGTGTTGTTCACCTGCAGGCGTGCATGGGCTGTGAGGAGCTCAGTGAAGCTCTGAATGAAGACGATCCTCCAGATCTGCACATGGGAGAAGCAGAAAACAGCGACGTCACTGCTGCTCCAAACTCACAAGAACTTCAAGAACCTCCAAACTCGCCAACGCACAGCTGTCCCGGTCCAGACACCTGAACTGAAGCTCAGCCATGAGGGACCTTCAGCACCACAGACCTCCAGGAAGACTCTCGCTCGCTCCGCTCCTGTACAGAGACAGTGTAAGTACTGCAGTGAGAGAGAGAGAGAGCGATCGGGTGTCTCCAAAGCCAGACTCTGTGCTGTTCGATGACCATTACTGTTAGAGTGAGCGGATCACTTTCCTCTTCAGTGTTTCTCCTGTTGTCCTGTACATGTACAGACTAACTTATTTCCTTCTTGACAGAACTTTGTTTTGTACTATTTTGTATAAATGTGTGCTGTTTTCTCCTCTGAAAAGCACTCATAATGGATCTGCTGGTGTTTGCTAGTTGTGTTGTTGAATAGGTTTCTGAATTCCTTTCGCATTCACAATTCTTCGCTGAGGACTTGTGAGTTATTTATTGAATTAGGGCAGTGGAATTGTGTCCTAACACAACATCTGATCTCTTCGCTTGAGCAGTTGTAGCTCATTTAAGATGTTTAGTGAATGCATTAGGTGAATTGATCTGAAAAGTGTTTCAGATGAGAGTTCTGGTGCTATGTTCTCGATCAGGCCGGCTGCCTGATCATCTGTTGCGATATTGAACCTCAGTGTTAGAGTTCTCTTTTATAAAGCGAGGTGTAAGTGATGGTGGTTTAACTGATCTCACAGACTGTCCATGTGTCAACCTGCTGTGAAGCCACAGTTACCAATAAACAGCCGAAACAGAGAGGCACCTTATTCGGGAGATTACAATATGCCATTGGAGGGTCTCCATTTGAATAGTACTTCAAATACCAGTGGTGAGGTCAATTTGATATGAAGCTTTAAAGGTTTAGAAATCTATTTTACAACGTTTAGCACACGTTTAAAAGAAATATGCTTGCATTCTGTCACTTTGGAAGCTGTGCAGCCATCTGTGATGTGTCTTACGCTGCCTGTTTGTTTAATAAAGTGAATTTAAAATAAAATCTATTTTTTAGAAATGTACAACTTGTGCTCGTCTCTTTGTTCATGTTAAAGTTTAAATGCAATATATGAAGTAAATATAGCGAAGATCAAATAAAAAAAGTATGTGTATGTATTTATATATACATACATGTATATTAAAGGTATACACAGTGCTTAGCATAATGGACCCTTTTCACAACACTGTTATGATGCATTTTACGGTCATTTTTTTTTTTACTGTATGAACATTTATGTGTATGTATGCATGTATTATATCATCTTTGCTTCAAATTACAAAAAATCTAACTACCGCTTGGTACCGAGAGGTTTCAAACAGATGAGACAGGACAGTAAATTTGCTGTTCTTCTCTCTTCATGGCTGCCGATATCAGTCTCACACATTTTTTTCCTTTTTCTGTAACAGAATGATTTGTTGTACTCTACCGTTTGCTGCGCTCTAAGTTTAGCCAGCTATGACAACTTCTGCTACTGAGTAACCCGGAACTGAAAAGGGTCTATTGATCACTGCCCATTTTGAAAATGAATATTGTTATCCATTTCTCAGTGAATATACTGTAGGCAGTGTATTTTGGTGCATTTAAACAAAACAGATTTATTAAACAGATATATTTATTAAAATAATATTTTAGTCACCAAACATTGAGAAATTAAAAGATAATACAATTAAATTCAAGAAAAATATTGCAAAATAATAAACAATTTACACATTTTTTTTGCTTCTTTTAAATTTTCTTCTTTTTAAAATTTGTATTTAATATTTTTCTATAACATAGAAATGTGGCTGTACTAGTTTTTGGACGGTTATCTTGAGTTATTTTGTTAGATAAGCTCCAGATTTGACTTGAGTACTGACTAATCTAATGTACATGCACAAATATAATATTGTATAGCTTCCTATTAAAAATATGAATTTAAAAGATAGATTTGTCAGGGGTGTTTACTTATATATGCTGAACACTGTATATGTGTAACTTAAATGTATATATTAAAAAGATGTGTGTGTATAATATATATATATATATATATATATATATTTATTTATTTATTTATTTATTTATTCATTTTCTTTTCGGCTTAGTCCCTTTATTAATCTGGGGTTGACATAGTGGAATGAACCGCCAACTTATCCAGCACATGTTTTACGCAGTAGATGCCCTTCCTGCTGCAACCCATCACTTGGTATGTAGTGAGAATTATTAAACTGCATGAATTATCAGCCCCTCTGTTTATTTTTTTCCCCAATTTCTGTTTTACGGAGAGAAAGTTTTTTCAACATATTTCTAACTAGTTCTAAACATAGTTTTCTGAAAAAATATGGTTAATGATGGTTTGTTCTGTAGGCTATCCGAAAAATATATAGCTTAAAGGGGCTAATAATCTTGACGATAAAATGATTTTAAAAAATTTAAAACTGCTTTTATTCTAGACAAAATCAAACAAAGACTTTCTCCAGAAGAAAAAATATTATCAGACATACTGTGAAAATTTCCTTGCTCTGTTAAACATCATTTGGGAAATATTTTATAACATTTTATATATATATATATATATATATATATATATATATATATATATATGGGGTCAGTATGATTTTTTAATGTTTTAAAATAAGCTTCTCCTGCTCACCAAAGTTGCATTAATTTCATCAAAAATACAGCACAATTTGTAAACTTGCAAAATGTTATTGTACTATAAAATAACTATTCAAAAGTAGTTTATCGTTTAATTTAATCATTTATTCCAGTCATTTTAAAGATGCATTTTCAGCTTCACTACTCCAGTCTTCAGAGTCACATGATCCTTGATCCTTCAGAAATCACTCTAATATTCTTTTCGGCTTACTCCCTTTTTATAACCTGGGATCGCCACAGTGAAATGAACCGCCAACCTAACCAGCATATGTTTTAGGCGGCAGATGCCCTTCCAGCTGCAACTCATCTCTGGGAAACACCCATACACACATACACTGCAGACAATTTAGCTTGCTCAATTCACCTGTACCACATGTCTTAGAACTGTGGGGGGAACTGGAGCACCCGGAGGAAACCCACGCCAACACAGGGAGAACATGCAAACTCCACACAGAAATGCCAACTGACCCAGCCGAGGCTCGAACCAGCGACCTTCATGCTGTGAGGCGATTGTGCTGCCCACTGCGCCACCATGACACCCACTCTAATATTAATTATTATTATCAATATATTTATTATTAAAGGTAATAGTAAAAAAAAACAATGATGACGAGTAATAATTTCATTTGAAACTACATACAATAAAAATGTGTTATTTAAGATTGTAATAAATATTTGACAATTAATTTTTTACATATAATAAGTTTATATTAATTTTCTGACCTTCAAAAATAAACTGACCCCAAACGTTTGACCAGTAGTATATATATATATATATATATATATATATATATATATATATATATATATATATATATATATATATATATATATATATATATATATATATATATATATATATATATATATAATTGAAAAATGTATATGCTTTGTCACTATGAAAACCCGTCCTTCAACAAAACTGTTTATTCGTTTAGAAAATAGTTAAATGTAGTTTGTCAATGAAATGTCCATTTCTATCATTGATTTTTGGATGACCATAATAACCCCCCGCTGATGTCAGTGTTGCGCAAACGGACCGTTGGGCCAGAGGGGCCTTTCTCTGCGCCATATGTTCAGAGTTCAGCCGACCGTTAAAGCGGTTTTTATTATTATACAGCCAGCGCACATCCGCCGCCGCGCAGCGCCCCTTCATGTGCTCTGACTGCGGGTCCGGCTACGGGTTGAGCCTCCGCACATGAAAGGCGCTCTAGTTCCTCTGCTTCACACCTGCGCCAATTTCAGGACAAGGTGTGAATGGTTCCTCCAGGCCTCCTACCAAGACAACAACCTTCAGACGCCGAGAATCCGGCCCTTAGCGGTAATACAACCTGTCAACAGTCTGCGAACACTGGATGTGGATTTAAAACAGTTAATACGTATTTACATCAAACGTGCTCGGACATTCGTCCCGGAAAACCGCAGCTAATGACGGATCTTCTAACTAGCTGATTTGTTAATCCGTTTGGATTAGCTAGGTTTAAATAAATGTAATGTATATCAGACTTTCGTGACTTTTTATATTATTCAGGCAGTTTAACAGAGATAAAACTCGCGCGCTTTTGTAGTTTGCTAATCCTCTCGTGAGCTAAATCTGTAGTTATTTTGAATGAGCTCGGAATGGTTTGGCTTTAGTCTGTATTTTTGATTATGGCTAAATCTTGAAGTGACACGACTACGGTTTTGTTCCAGTTTTGTCACCGTCGGATCCAAACAGACGAATAAAGAACCGTAACCGGGTTATACAACAACTAAAATCCCAAACAAAAAGTAACTGTTAGATAAACCATAGATAAACAGTCAAACGTGTAGATAAACCATTTAGTAACCAAAATACTTTCGTGGACAGTAGATTTACATAACTAGTTTTCGTTAGAAGTGAAAGCAACTGATGGTTTATTTACAAACTCGAATTAGCCTAACTAGTAAAGGCTAGGTTATTGGCTAATTTAGACAAGGTAATCATGGTTTATTAACCATATATATATATATATATATATATATATATATATATATATATATATATATATATATATATATATATATAAACACACACACACACACACATTATTACACACATTATTAGCCCAATTTCTGTTTAACGGAGAGATAATTTTGTCAACACATTACTAAACATGATAGTTTTAATAACTCATTTCTAATAACTTATTTATCTTTGCCATGATGACAGTTAATAATATTTGACTAGATATTTTTCAAGACACTTCTATACAGCTTGAAGTGACGTTTAAAGGCTTAATTACGTTAACTAGGCAGGTTAGGGTAATTAGGCAAGTTATTGTATAATGATGGTTTGTTCTGTAGACTATCGAAAAACATTATAGCTTTAAGAGGCTAATGTTGACCTTAAAACAGCTTTTAAAAAAATTAAAAAATGCTTTTATTCTAGCCCAAAAAAAAAAAAGAAATATATATATATATATATATATATATATATATATATATATATATATATATATATATATATATATATATATATATATATATATATATATATATATATATATATATATATATATATATATATATATATATATATAAACTGAGCTTTAGGAAATGTTTGTGTGTTTTAAAGGGATGAACACTTGAATTGTAAGCATCATGCTCTATCTATCTATATCTATATATCTGTATGTCTTTCTATGCAGATAGATAGATAGATAGATAGATAGATAGATAGATAGATAGATAGATAGAAAGATAGATAGATAGATAGATAGATAGATAGATAGATAGATAGATAGATAGATAGATAGATAGATAGATAGATAGATAGATGGATGGATGTTTGTTTATAAAGTTGTTTTCATCAAATAAATGCAGTATTGGTGAGAATATTCCTAAACTATTTACAAATCTATGACCGGTAATGAATGTTTTTTAAACACAAGTTTGTCAGACAAATCTTCAAAGGTGTATTTTGATGACAGACTTGACCAGAAACACGTACATCAGTCATGACCTGCAGCGCGGCGCATTGTAGCGCCAGTCATCGAGTCTGTAGCAGTGGCGTTGCTCGGCTGCGAGGTGTTCAGTTTAACACGCCTGGGGGTCACCCAAAACCCAAAGCGGACATTCACACTTTTAGACATAGAGAAGGTGTGATATATAGCTTACATTATTTGATCAAAGCGGTTACAGCTGCTAGATAACTGTAACATATTCTCAGAGTCCTGGGAAAAGTTCAACAAATCTATTAATTAAGCAGTCATCACTGAGTGAAAGGACACCACTCTAATATCATTTATATAGAATGAAACATGACACTCTTTGCAGTAGCAAATCAGAAAGATGCTTTAATGAAGGGTAAAATCACATATAAAACACATTATTCCCGACATTTACACTTATTTTTTTTCTTCCCGTCACAAAAATCACAATAACTGTCATAGATCTATCTACAGCAACGACATTGAAATATTTACATCCTATCCTACAATAATTAAGAGATGGGAACACACTCCCTAGACATATTATTTATCCTTACAGTGTATTTTCCTTAACTTAGCTTATACAAAAAACACACAATTAAATAAAATACTAATTCTGTGTAACTGAAGTGGACTGAAATGCACATTATTGTTGCACCTAGAAGAGCTTACTGAGGGGTATATCCACAGGTCGATGACAAAAAAGTCGCCCTATTACTAAAGTAGAACTGGTTCACAAAGGTGCTCAATCCTGGACTATTTTCTAAACTAGAAAATATACTTGAATGTTCATGAATCGGCGGAGGTGAGCATCTGTCTACCAGGGTCTCCAAATGGACTTGTTGGTGTATAATGTTGGCACGACTGGCGCCTGATCTCCGGCATCTACCGAGATGCGGCTGTGCTCCGTGTCTGTGTCGTCCAGGTCAGAACAAATGTCGTCGCTGGAGGTGGTGGACGGGGCCGGGGACAAGGCGGAGGAGCCACCGTTGGCCACGCTCGTCCCTCCGGGCGACAACGTAGCGTACGCCGCCTCGCCAGGCCAAGTGCCAGAGTTGTTAGAGTCCGAAATGAGGTCTGACAGAATGTCCTGAAAGCGCTCCTCGTCGTTCAGAGGCATACATTCGAGGAGGTGGTTCAGCAGATCTGCGGCGATGGTGGCGTCGATGCCCGGGCAGCTGGACACGAATGTGTGCACTTCATGCATGCACTGGATGTAGCCCGCGGCGAAGCGCTCGTTGGCCTCGCGGTTCACACTGTCAGCCTCTGCGGAGGAGAAAAGCAACGTGACGTCACGACCCAAATAAACGGGATATTTTGAAATGCAGAGAAATATCGGCGAGCTGGCCTTTCAAATACGAGTCTTAACAGCAGCTCTTACCCTTCGCTTTGTTTTGCAGTATACTTTCCACGCGCTTCACGGTCATTTCCAACACCTCGGCGTTCTCCATTTTTACCTGCGCCTACAAATGACGCAAAGCGCGATGTGAAATGTGCGTACAGTGGATATACAGTGAGAGTGGACATGCATAAGTCTGAAGAAGTGATAGTCTGGATAAACTTACATCCGGGTCGGCTAGCAGTAGCCGAAGCTCCTGTAAACTTTCATTTATCCGGGCGCGTCTCTTTTTCTCCACCAGCGGTTTCCTCGTCTGAGGAGAGAAAAATAGTTGTGGGAAACGTCGACAAACTTTTCTGTGGGTGATTAAAAGACGTGTTTGCGTACCTTTCTGTCTTTTATTCCGTAATAATCCTCGTCGTGAGTGTTGCTGCGGGACGCAGGGGCCATATTGCTGCAGTTCAGGACGCTTGAATGGGGGGCAGATGGTCGGCGGGTTCAGTTCGAGACAAAAGTCTGTGCTAACAAGCACTACATATACTGTGGATAGTGGCCGATAGAAGGGGGACATTTATGAGGTCTGATTTACATGTGAATGGACTGACTGGCAACCAATCAACAGCTATGTCTTTGTGCATTGTAAACCAGCCCACCATCTGAACCTGTGTGGACCAGGGGACAGTGAATAGAATTGAATACAACTATCCTGAGGATAGATAGATAGATAGATAGATAGATAGATAGATAGATAGATAGATAGATAGATAGATAGATAGATAGATAGATAGATAGATAGATAGATAGATAGATAGATATTGTCTGTTGAAAAACTCAAATCAGTATGTTAAAGTTATTTTAAAGCAAAAAATATTTTTGGGAACTTCAGACTAAATTGAATATTTTGTTCAAACTGAGTTAAAATGGCCAGGAAAACATGACATCTCAGTGCAGATTTGACATTTGGGACCATTTTAATGTAAAAAATTCAACAATCATGTTTAGAGCAAAAAAAAAAACTGATGCTGTTTAAAAAATGACAGACTATAGACTAATTGACATCAAACTGCAAAGAAAGGTATAAAGTGAAAGACCTCAAACCAGAAACAATCCTCTCAGAAATGGAGTCTATTATTATCAAAGCTTTTTTATAAGCAGATTTCTTAAACAACTTTACACTTCCACTTTATTGAGACTGACATGTTTATGAGCACTATAAACTCTAATTGTGTTTCTGGCCTAGACATCATTGTATGCACATAAACCCCCTCTCAATGTGACAACAACTGTTCAGAATCACAGAGGGAGAGTTCCGCGTAGTGGAAAGTGCGCCCTCTACTGTGATTGAGCTCAGACACACGGCATCATCATTGCCAGGTCCTGCATCACCAGTGCGCGTATGTGTGTGGGCCATCAGGATTGAGGACATCTAGGAAAGTATTAATACATGCAATGCAAAGTGTATGAATAGAAAAGGAGAATGTTAACGTCTAAGGAATAGTAGCTACTGAAAAATAACATGAAAACCACATTTTCGCAAATATTTAGCCTATATATTTGCCCCATATACATATCTACTCATTGCTTTAGTGAATTAAAAAGCAAAGCGAGTTATTTTTTTGCATACTTTATATTACGTTCAAAACATCATTTAATTTCTGTAAATGTCTTGGTTTAATGGCACTAAATATTTTTTTTTAATAAACCACAAAGCCAAAATGCTAAGATCAATCATGACATATTTAAAGGATTTTGTGTTTCATTGCGTGAAAATGCTCGATTTTGTTCACACCGTTTGTAGATCTTAATTCATGTTCTACATCCGAGCCATAAAAAGCATTAATCGGTGTCAGGTTATTTATTGACTTCCGGCAGTCTGATGCAAATCACAACGCGTAGTAGAACACCGTAAACGGCCAAAATAGAACCGGAATGCACATCCATTTGTGGAAAAACTCCACAATAAAAGTCCAAGCAGGCGGAGACGAAGGACTGATTTAAATGATAGATTGGAGCTCTCTCTCTCTCTCTCTCTCTCTCTCTCTCTCTCTCTCTGTTGCTATTCCAAGTATTACTTTCAATCTGTGTCAATTATCAAACTACAATTCAATGTATGGCTAGATAATTGTATTGATATATTATTATTAACAAGGTTAGTTATTTTAAATAAACATGTCATATTAGGAATGAGCACTATCACTGTTTATAATGCAAATTACAGTTATCTTAATGCGTAATTAAAGTAAATTATCTTTACATATATTATGTAGTACAAAATAGTAATTGTTTAAACATGAAAATATGGAATCGAAGAGTTGCATTATTATTACTTAGATTATTCTAAGTATTACTGTCCTGTAATGTCTGTACAAATTATATATATTTTTTTTATTTTTCTGAGTACAGTCAAATTAGATTATTCATTCATTTTTCCTTGAGCTTAGTCCTTTTATTCATTAGGGGTCGCCACATTTGAATGAACTGTCAACTTATCCAGCATGTTTTACACATCGGATGCTCTTCCAGCTGCAGCCCAGTACTAGGAAACATTAATGCACACACATACACTACAGCCGGTTTTGTTTATTCAATTCACCTATTGCGCATGCGTTTGGACTGTGGGGGAAACCGAAGCCCACGCCAACATGGGGAGAACATGCAAACTCCACACAGAAATGCCAAATGACCCAGCATGGGCTCGAACCAGCGACCTTCTTGCTGTGAGGCGACAGTGCTACCCACTGAGCCACCCCAAATTAGATAATGTATTTGATATTTTATACATGGTTGTTAATTTGTATTAATCAACCCTTAATATCTGCAAATTACAGATTATTTTCATATATGCAACATTAATATAATACAATATCATAACATCATAATTATGCAGTTAATCACAACTATTTAAAATGAATCAGTAATTTAACACTGAGTTCTGTTTCTCACACAGGTTTTAATTATTTAATTTGAATATTTTTGATAAAGCACACATTTCTTATGTCTACAGTGAAAACAGATTGCTTTATTACTGATCAATCTAGTGATGGATATTTCTTTACAGAATAAAACTAAATGTCTTTCCATGTTGGTGACCAAAGGCAGCAGGATCAAACCCAGTAGTTCATACAGCCTGGATGTTTAACCAATGTTAAAGGAGAAAAGCAAAATTAGTTTAATATCTACTAATAGTTTAATGCGAAAAATCCAATCTTTTATGCCCCTTGGAACATATTTCAGATCTGAATGGGTTAACAGGCCTTAAATCCTGCAATGTCTGTATAAATTTTATATATATATATATATATATATATATATATATATATATATATATATATATACAAACACACACACACACACACATATATATATATATATATATATATATATATATATATATATATATATATATATATATATATATATATATATATATATATATATATATATATTTTTTTTTTTTTTTTTTTTCCTAAGTTTAGTCAAACTAGATAGTGTATTTGGTATTTTATACATGGCTAATAATTTGCCAAATAAGCCTATAATATTAAGAAATTGTCCATGCAAATTACAGATTATTTTCATATCATAATGCAACAATAATATAATAAAATATTACATCCGTGCATATTTATGCCATTAATCACAACTATTTAACCTGAATCAGTAGTTTAACACTGAGTTATGTCTCTTACACAGGTTTTAAAGATTATTTAATGTTAATAGTTCTAATAGTTCCCAGGTCTACAGTGAACACAGATTGGTGTTTTACTGATCAATATAGTGAAAGGAAAACACTAAATGTCTTTCTATGTTGGTGAATAAACTCAGCAGGATTAAACCCAGTAGTTTATACAGTCTGCATGTTTAATCAATGTTAGACATTAGAAATAATGTATGTTCAAATGAAAAGTTACTATACAAATTATAAATAACTATACAATTAACTAACTACTAATAGTTTAATAAAAAAACAAATCTAATCTTTTATGCAGCTTAGAACATATTTCAGATCTGAATTGGTTAACAGAAATCCTGTAATGTCTGTGTAAATTATATTTATTTGTATTTTTCTAAATACAATCAAATCATATAATATATTTGATGTTTTATATACGGCTATTAATTTACCCAAATAAACCTATAATATTAAGGAATTACTGTATGCCATGCAAACTACAGTTTACTATCTCAATGCAGCGTTAATATAATAAAATCACTGCATATTTATGCAATTAATCACAACTATTTAATCTGAATCAGTAATTAAACACTGAGTTATGTCTCTTACACAGATTTAAAAATTATTTAATTTTAATAGTCGTTAGTTAGTTCTTATGTCTACAGTGAACACAGATTGCCGTATCACTGGTCAATAGTGATACAGATTAGTTTACAGAAAAGCACAAATGTGTTTCTGTGATGGTGACCAAAGGCTGCAGGAATAAACCCAGTAGTTGATACAGTCTGGATGTTTAACCAATGTTAGATATCATACTAATAACTATAGAATTATGAACAACTACTAATACTTTAATAAGAGCAACCCAATCTTTCATGTCTCTTGTAACATATTTCGGATGTGAACGGGTTAACAGACTAGACCCCTTTTTCTTTTTTCTTTTTTTTCTTTTTTTTTTTTTTCTTTTTTTGTAAAAATTGTGAGTGACACTAAATTTAGAGAGCAGTCGCTGATTGGTGGACTCTTAATTTGAAGTGTGCCGGAAGCGAGGGAATCCTCTTTAAGTTCGCCCTCTGCCGAGCGATTCATTCACAGCTCAGAAGCGTCCTTGGTGGTACAATCAACACTGGACGTCCTGACCGCAGCAGACTAGCAGGAGTCGACAAAATGGTGAAGATTTCCTTCCAGCAAGTGACTGTGCAGAAGCCAGAAAAGGAGAACGATGGAGACAAAGAGGAAATCCAAATGCCGTACTCTCACGTGAGTTTACTTTGATTTCAATACAATCTCTTTTGCTTTGTGCGTGTAAAACTCCATTATGTTCCTTCTAGTAAAATGAAAACTGCTAAAATAAATTTGAGTGTCTTTATAGTTATATACAAAATAATAATGCATTTTAATTGATATTATAAAGATGCTATAATTTGGTATGATGTCTAAATCAAATAAGACAGTAGTACACTAACTATAATGTATGAAATTAGAATAATAACTGCAGTTTTAATATTATTTGTGGAGTTTTGCATGTTTAAAAATAGGAAATTACATAGTATTACAACATTTATATGCACATATAGAGATTCTATTTTAAATGTATTTAAGTTTAAAAAACAACACAGGATTAAATGATGGTGACAGTATAACTTGTAAAAAATGCATCTGCCTTTATTTTGTTACACAAGTTCAAGTTTCATTTAGTATAGTAATGCCAAAGCATTTTAAATATGTATAAGATATGTAATATATTAACATCATCATAATAATAAACTGTAATATTTTATGTCTATGCTGAACTGCTCAGACATTTATGAATGCATTAAATATTAAAGTATTATACGCTAGACTTTGTGGTCTGC